CTACATACATACATACATCCGGAAGACAAACAAATAAAAAGTATTAATTCTAAAAGGGATTCTTGAAAATTATTTGTAAACAAGAAAGAATTTTATTTGAAATAAGAGGAAAAATTACTTGAAATTTTTCGTCAACAAGAGAAGCAGCAGTTTCTGACATATAACCATTGTTTGGTATAAGGCATGCTCTTCCAAAACAGCAAAAGCAAAGTACACGTTGCAAATATTTTGGCCATTTGGGATTTTGTGGCGCAAATGGTTCTTCATCTTTTGGTTTGAATACTGCTATATTTTGATGATTGATATCACGCACAAAATATGATCCTGATACGAAAATATGATTACTGTAATAAGCTCATTAAATCATCTTTGTATTTCAGTCCTTGAGGTGGGATAAATTAAGTTGCTTCTCTTCCGGATATTGCTCAAGACTTTCAAATTTTCAAAGTTCAAGTTTAACGATATCTTTACGTTGAATGGTATAATGAGTAATAAGAATTTTTTCGTAATATTGGTTTTTTTATTTCCGATCTTCGTTCACTGAAGCAGAAAACTATGAGGAGAAAATTAATAAATCGAAAAAAGCACTATCGGTTTTCAAGATTTCTACCGGAACTTCCAGCTGCAATGCGTATTGGTTGTATGCCAGCTTCGATTGCTTCCAGAGCTTGTTTTAAATTCCGATTGAAATCATCATCATTTAGTATTTCCTGTCGTGATGATGCCACATAAGCACAAACCTTACGTTGCCATACTGAATCCGGACGTGTTGATGTTGATGGTTGTGAAATCGATTGCGAAGTTTCCTGATTATTATCATTTAAAAATTTTTCAGTTTTTTTACTTGCTTCATAAAATCCTTTTACCAGTAAGCTATTGCACTCGAAATTCAAAATGCTTTAAATCCTCAGACAAATGTTTAGGTAACAATTTAGACTAATTAAATTGTTTAGAATTAAATCACTTTATAAACTTTATTTTTCAATCATAAAATTTCGAATAACTACAGTCTTTAATTATTTAATGGTAATAGTTTGCAAAGATGAGTACCATTATTATATAATTTTCCTCGGACTTGGATGTGAAACCGGTATGCGAGAAATCGGATTGTTCAGTTATCTCCGGTTCTTGCTTTAAATTAGTGCAAATATTTGTTTGCATTGTTTGCAGCCGTTGATGGTAACTTTTAGTTTCCACTGTCATTTGCCACCACTCTACGGGAACATAAATATCTTTCTGGAAGACTGTAACTCTGCTGGAATACAGTTGTGAATATTAGCACTTTGGCAAATGATCCTATTATCAAATCTTAATTAAGCTTGATTAAGTTCAATTAAGTCTTAATCTCAACTGAACAGTCTTAATTAATTAATTAAGTTGTTGCAAATAGCACAATTACTTGTGAAATATTACCACCCATCAACGAGAGTTACGCATAAACATTTCGAGAGGTCACACGAATATTATCGCACGAACATTTTGAAAAATTAGTTTTCAAATTTTCGAAACTGAAGAAACTTCTTATTGGTCAATTTTTTATTGTTCTAGACAGAACGTCTAATAATAACTTAATTAATAGATGTAACTGTAATTTGATTTATCAGATAAAAAAGATAATCGGTGGGAAAATATCGACGGCTGGCTAATATTGAGTCCATTTGTCATCAAGCGATTTCAATCGTTAGTACGGATCGAATCCATACCAATTTCAATCTCACAATAGCTCACCACAGAATTCTTAATAAACAATGCAACTATCTCATCTAAAATTCACTTTTATATTTGTTGAAGAAGAAAAGAGAAGATCTACTTTGCAAGAGTAAGTCAGAATTATATAATATGGAAAATGGAGAGAGTTTGTGTTCGGACTTGAAAGATTACGATCAAATAAGTTTTACTAGCCTATTAAAGTCATGAATAATTTAACTGTTATTTTATTGATGTACTTTGCAAGAGTAAGTTCTAATTGACTGATTGGTTATCACTTAATTTTTGAAATGAATCAATTTTTGTCAGGCAACTATTACTAATCCCGGAAGAATTAATTTGATTTTCAAAAATCGTAGCATTTTTTTGCAATTCCAGCAATCGATGGTTTGGCCAAATTTTACTGTTTCTATCATTCAATAAGCCATTATTATTGCCATATTTAATTAGGGATATTTGTTTTCAGCTACCGGAATTAAGATTTCTTGTTTCAGAAATTTAAATAGAAAAAATGTTGAATTTTGTAAAGAGAACTATATAGTGAGAAGATTTAGTGATTTTTTAAGATTGAAACAGTGAAATTTGAGATGCGAGTGGAAATGAAAAAGAGATTTAAATGTCTTTTCGAACGATTACTCTTCTTGTTATTGTTGTCGTTTGAAGTAAAAATTGTAACGAAATAAAGCTGCTTTCAGTGAAGAAATTTGGTTCAAATGATCACTAAAAACTATGACCTTTTTTTTTGATTCTTTTTGTGCATACATATAACGACCGGTTTTTTTGGCAAATTTTCCATTCCGGTTCTTTATTGAAGAAATCTGCGATATTGCTATAACATTGAAAAACAGGATTTAAGAAAGCAATAGAGAATGAAAGAGGAAAAAAGTTATGGTTAAGTACATTTCATCTAAATATATATTTATTCACATAAATAAGAAGTAAATGAAAGATAAGATAACTAACTATTTTTGGCTTATTTTACATATTTTACATAAGAATATAAGAAAAATTTTTTCCCATTCATTTTGTGAAAGTTTGTTGTGATGAAAATTCTTTTTCCTTTATTTCATTTTTTCTTTCTTGGCATATATTTTCAAAAAAATTTCATTACTTTCTTTTACAACTTCTCTTCAACAATAATCATCTCTCTGTGATTTTATAAAATTTAAATTTTATGTGACATTTTTGATTTGATTGATATATGGGATGAGAGCAACGCTAACAACATCATCGAACGTTATAAATTTTTGGTTGCATGCAATTTAATATATCCATGTCCACTATATCAGTTATATATGACAATGAGAGTTGATATTTGTGAATGAGCAAAATTATACTTCATTTTCTTTTGATGATTTGTGGAAAAAATGACAAGAGAAGAATGTTATTTGATCTCTTGTGATCGTTACTTTTATGAAAATGTAACTTTCCTTATCAGTGTTGTTATCAGTCAATAAGTGCTATTAATAAGGAGAAGTAAATAATTAGGATAAATTTGGGAAGTGAATAAAATGTGAAATATGCATTGGTCAATAATTAAAAAAATTAATGAATAATGATTTTGATTAAATGAAAAATGAATTAAAGGTCAAAGAAAAAAAATCGAATTTTCATATTTTTGTTTGCTATCACATACATTCCATTAAGATGCTTTCGATAACCAGAAAAGAATTCGTTTCATTCGTTCCACAATCATCGTTTCACAATTTCGATTTTTGATGTTTAAAATTTCTAAATTTTCGGATTCACACCAAGAAGCATTCTTGTTCAAAAACTGGAAGGTTGTAAATAACATCGAAAGCAATTAGCTGAATGCAGAGACGAGATATTTCACATCCTAAGAAATTCTTTTGGGGACATTTTTACTGAGATAGATGACATAGTGAAATAGAGAGGAGGAAGCGGGGCGGAGTTCGTTGGTAAACGGCGCCAGAAAAATTGAGATGCGTGATAAACAAATATATAAGAGGAAATATATACTTCTTTTTCCGCCTCGCGCAACTAACCAACTTCATTACACAATTCTGAATTCATATGCAGAGACGTATTCCTTTTCAAATCATTTACATTCTTATCCGTAGGTTTAAACTATTTTCTGATCCGGTAAAGAATGTTATTCCTCCATTCATATGATCGTTTCTGTTTGATTCCAAAATAAAAAATTTATTAAAAGAATAATAAATTAATTCTATCTTTTGTTATTGAAGACTATGATGAAAACTGACCTCTGGATTCATTCCTGATTAGAATTATATTTACAGAATTTTAAAATGTTAGTTTAACAGTTCGATCGAATTTCACTTTAGGATCTCAGTAAAATTGCAAAAATTTGAATCTAAAGCTTCTTCTATCTTGTTTTGTTATTAATAATGAATTCTACATTTTCTTCCGAATATCAATATCGTATCATTTTGTATTGTTTACTTTTGCACTGTATTTTCAAAGAAACATTCCAATAATTTACAATCTTGACTTGATCAGACAAATTCACAACAGTATATTTGAAATTAAATTTATTCCTAATTAGATTTTTCTAATTTCTTACACATACCTCTTATTTTAAAACCTGTATTGGTAAATTTTTTGCTTGCAAAATCATTCAGTAAGTAAATAGAACCAATTCAAAGATTTCTTGATGAGTGAGATTCTAATTAGCGCTTCAAATATTTGACAGATACTAACTATATAATTGAATATTAAAATTAAAAAAGCATAAAATAGAATGCATAGCAATTTGTGAAATATTCAGAAAAAAATTATAATAATTTATTAACTGAATCAGTAAGTATATTAGCTAATACAATGATTCTTATCAAATTCATCATAATTAGTTTAATTTCAAAGGATCAAATTTTCATTAAAATTTAATAAATCGTAAATAAATTTCTTAAGAGACTAATTGTCCTCTAATTAGTTAATTATCGACAATTAATCAATCAAAATATTAATAATCATTTTTACCAAATTATGAATTTCTTTTTTCAATGAATAAAAATTTTATCAACGTATGAATGCCTAATATATGTGAAGTAATAAATCTCAACAAATTGCCATTCTTTAGAGCAGTTTTTTTTTGTATAATCAATGAAGGAGATAGGTTTTGTGGTTGTGGCAGATTAATTATGGTTGAAAAGTGCAATCAATATAATTCATTAATTAAAAACTCGACTATTTCAACTAATTGATGAAAATATCTTTTCATCAATTAGTTGAAGTAATCGAGTTTTTTCATTGAAACAATCTTTTCTCTCTCAACCTTGACCAAATTTTCACATTAACAGTTGTTCATCACTGATTGATAAGTGTATTACGTTGGAAAAGAAAGCGAAACTATCATTACTTATCCGTTCGAATAGAAGAAAAGTTTTCATAACGTGAAATTTATTTTTTGTAGATTTTTTCGAAGTTCGAACAGATCGAAATGAATTGAAAGAAAGAAGTCATTAACTGAATAAATTATATCTTTTCTTTGTCTTTTATTGTCGATTAGATTAATTATCGAAATTCCATCCTTTTTTTAGGATTAATTTGATTACAAATCTGATTTTTCTCCTTTTTTAAGTGAATAATTTCTTCAATTCCAATATATCATTAATGAACAATAAAAACCAAAAATCTTAGAATCCCTTATCATCATTCTAATAGAAGGTGGAAAAATTATCAGAACTTATCAAAGTTGAACAATAGAGATATTTAACTGTATGTATTATGATCGGAATTTAATTGAATTAGAATATGATTGAAGGCTTCTTACTAATAGAAAAAATCTTCATTTAAGAACTGATCCAAGAAATGCTTCAAATTTCTAAGAGTACCATATGGTCACTTGCTATGCATCAATCACCCCTTATAGGAATGACCGAAAAACTTCATGCAACTTTCCCAAAAATTTATAATTTGAATTAATTACTGTTTGTTACTATCACTAGAAAAGTTGTTTTTTTTGTAATTCGCAAGTATCCAGAATTGATCTATTGCTAAAAAAGGACGCGCCGTAGTGAAAGAAAACTGAAATAAGGACACAAATTTACTTGGACAATTGACCAGTTCTGCATTTGTCGTGCAATAAAAATGATCAGTACAACAATCGTACTTCTAATCAGAAAAGCATGCCAGAAAGAGTATTTCTAGAAAATTCAGAATTATCAATTAGTTGCACCCTTTGCGCTTTCAGAAATGATTAATGCCGAATCTCTGATTGGCCGTTTTTGTTTGTTTGTTTGTTTTTTCTTTTGGCTGCTAGGAAAAATTTGATTTTAAGAATTAGGGTGTGAGTAAATGAATTAGTTAATTTAAAATATTTCATCCTTACCTACATGATCCCTTAAAAAAGAGTGGATAAAGTGGAAAGCGGAATGTTTCCTTTCCTCATGTCAACAAGAATGGATTCCATAACTACTATTTGTTGTGTTTCATGCATCAAAATAACCGGTTAGCTTTACTCATATATACAGATCAATGACCATCCATATCTTCTATCGATTATTTCAATTTTCAATCTTAATGAGCATCTAAAAGCAATAATAAATTAGAGAATTTATGAATTTATTGATCAGAATCAAAGAAATTCCAAAATTTAAACATTATATTGTATAATCTGTAAACAAAGCTAATCGAAATTTTAGAAAAGGATATTCTAAAATTTACATTTTATGCTATACAATTTCATGTTGAATTTTTTTCACATCGTTGCGACGCTATCACTATTGATAAAAATTGATGTAATTGTTGATTCTGTACAATTTTAATAACATGCTGCGTAGTTTGCATGAGCTGGTGTATTGGTCATCCAAATGCATGGATTTTATAGCAGAAGGGGGATGAATAAAATCCAGCTAACATTGCTGCTTTATCAGTTCATAATTATTACTATTGCAATCAAAGTGATCAACAATGGTTTAGCACCACCTGAAATTGTCCACTCACCTATAGCAATCAAACGTTTGTTTTTCACTTTTTTTTTCATTTTTTCAATTGTGATTTTAAATAAGATAAATCGTCGAAGAAGAATAATATTTTTAATAGGATATTTGTTTTTTTTTTTAAATGAATATGAATTGATGTTAAATTAATTCATCGCTAATAATTAACAAATATTTTTATCTGATAAGTAGAAAAATGAATTTGCTTAATAAATTTATATCGACTTCATGAAATTATTGATTTTTTGACTCATATGAAACTAATTTTGGAATATTTAATTTCAATTAAATTGAAAAAAAAGTATTTAATTTTGATAGTTTTCATTTACTACTGTAAATTACAATGATTATTATTTGCAAAGGTAAGAGAGCGGCACTTTTTGAAGATTGTCAGGAAAATAGCCAACGGCATTTGAGTTTCTAAATTTTTATGAAATACGCTATCATAAAAACGAATGGGTATGGAACTAGTTTTTGATATAATTAAATCTTAAATGGAATGATACATAATTCAGCGATAGCTACCATTGCTTTAAGAAAAACAAATCAATTTGACTAAAAAAAATAACACAAATGACAACCGACTGCTTACATTACTACTTCAAAAGAATAGGTTAAAATAGGAATTTTAGGAAGAAACGATGGTATTTTAATGAAAATTGGAATTATAATTTCAAATAAAATAAGTTGCTAATGAAGAATAATATTCATTTTACAATCTATTTACTATTTACTGATCTTTGGGATAAATTTAAGAAGATTATATAAAAGAAATATAATTGATGATAATAATAATATGATAATGATTTCTTAACAGAAAAGGTAAGAAATTGAGAGAAAAGCAATCTCTCCTGAAGTATGTTATAAGCTCACAATATCAGCCTTTATTATAAAATTGAACTTCTCACTTCTTCCTGGATATTTGTATTAAATTATGTGACTGATTTAATGAATTTACACTTTCAGCTAGGTGTATTGTTGAAGCAGAACCGTTGGATTTGGTATTTGTGCTGGATAGCTCAGGTTCATTGAAGAATAAATTTCAAGATGAAATCAATATCATTCGTCGGATCGTCAATCATGTCACCATCGGAGAATCCGCTACACGGGTCATGCTTATACAATTCAGGTTTTTCTGCTACTCAAAATATTCATATCTTAAAAATTCATTAATTTTTTGCATTTTTTTAAATTTGAACAATCAATGTCTGCATTAATTTATCACACATATCATATTTTGTAAAATATATTGCAAAAAATTTTGGAGTAAAATTCGACACTTCGAATTTTTAGGAAGTTTTCAAAAGTTTGATCAAGATTTAAAAAAAAAGGAAATTTTGTGAAATATTTTTTAGTGGTGTTCAACATTTGGAGTTTAATTTCAACAAATTCAAGGATCGTGAAGATATTCTTGCTGCTCTAGATGTATTAAGGCATGTCTCAGGCATAACACGAATGGGTGATGCATTTGAATATACTCTTAGTATGCTGAATGAAGAAAATGTAATATGCATAGTTTAAAAATTTTTCATTTAACTTTTATTTAGACTAGTAGCTCATATTTCAAATATTTTAGGTTGAAATAACGAGCTGTTATATTACTGTAATTAATTAGACGATATTTCAGTTGATTTACGTCTAGTATTTAATATCCTCACTTCATGAATTTTAAATAATTTCTAAATATAATTAATGGTACTATTTTTGTAGGAAATAAATTGCATTAATTAAATTACATTTTAACATTTAAATGACTTTGAAATGGCATATAATATTTTCATCAATAATTACAAAAGATTTAAATTCTTAAAATTTTAAGGGAATGAGGCCTTCGAATGTACCAAAGATATTATATTTATTATCGGATGGTCGAACGCATGATTATCCCAAAGATACAGAAATGGCAGATTTATTGAGGCAACAAATTAGTAACATTGATATCTATGCTTATGGAACTGGTGAATATGTTGCTGTGGATGAACTGATCGCTATCACAAAGGTAGGATAGCAAAATCAAAAAAATTTAGTTCTTATCATTTTAATCTTTTCATTGAAAGTTATAAAATTAGCTGAATAAAATATCAAAATATCATTTTATTGTTTTCAGTTAACTAAATTCGATCAAATTTGATAAATAAAGTCATTAATAATCTATTAAATATTTATATTATTTGTAATATAGAAGAAATTAATCAATAAATAAATTAATTAATTTTTTTATAATAAAAAAAATTTGTTTTTATAGGATCCAAAAAAAATTATAACAAATCAAAATTTGGAAGAATTGGAGCCGATTTTTGATCGTTGGAAGGGTACTGAAGTCTGTGAGAAATTACCTGGTCTGTTTAACATTAAATAAAACATTTCACTAATTTAATCCCAAATATGAGTAAGTAAAAATAAAGACAAAATTCAAATGAGAACACAATAAGTGTTAGCTTTAAACAGACTTCAATCCAAATTTATGAAAAACAAAACTTTATGGCAGCATCCATTGCTATACCTCTTTTCAATGATTATCATCTGATAACTTATCAAAGTCAATATCCAAATATAATTCTATTCTTTCTGATATCACAAATTCTTTTAAGAATTATATTTTTCACAAATTCTTTTATTTTAAAACAACGCGCACTTTTATTTTCACCATTGGTATCGGAAAAGTAGTTAAGAAAAGAATTTGATATTTAGTGCAGATATTGGAGAATGAATTGTTTCACTGAAGTTTCTAAAAGCACAAATAATTTTAAAGATATTGTAAACAAAAATAGAATGTTACATTTAATTATTTAACGAAACAGTATATTTAAGTTTGCATCCGTGGATCTGATAAACCACTTGATTTGATTCTGATTATTGACTCTTCCGAGTCAGTTGCTCACCTTTTTGATGAACAAATCAGATTTGCAATTGAACGAATCATCCGAAATATTAATATACATCCGGATGCTGTCAGGTAATTCCTTAATTTTTGCTTGAACTGTTTTTTTTTTTCGCTGGCGTATATTTCATATATTCTGCTTAAGAAATTGTTGTATAGTCGTTTTCTGAATTCGGGATATGGAGTAACATAAATTATTAAGATTTGATAGGATAGACTTTGATACTTTAGCGATATCTTCTCATCCTTTCCTTTTATATCTAAAATGATTAATTGCTTGGAATAATGACTCATTGATGAAATGTTTTATTGTATGATTGTAAACAAATAATTAATCATTACCAATTATTTACTTCAAAATTATTCAATTTTCATTCGAATTTCACTTTTTGTGAGAGAATAATAATTGAAAATTCGCGGAGTTTTCCTTACTAGAAATGTTGCTTCTAATGGGTGAATTGCAATTGCGCTCGACAACGCTCAACAAAATAAAGTAAATCATTCATTTGCATGTGATTCGATGTGACATACGACCGCCTTTTTGCTTCCACTCCGTTGAATACTCCTTCAATGATATAGTATTGGTGTGATGTTAGCAATAAATACAAAACAACCTGTCTCGACAATATTTCAAGCCTTTTTCACTAGCAATTATCAACTTCTCAAAAGCGAATGAATAGCATTCCGTCTCTTCAAACTTGCTTATACTTTTGAAATGATGTTGACAAATATAGCACACAGGAGATTGTTTCTATTTTGCTTTCAAACCGATTTATACGAGATTTAAAATTTCGTTGATATACATCTGCGCTGCATCATTTCTAGTTGCAACACAATGTTGACATAATGAAATTTGATATGATTTGTAATAAAATGAAATAAATTAAATTGGAATATACATATGTACATAGATATATATATTTGCAGGTTGGCTTTGATTACTTATTCTGGAAAAGCATACATTCATTTCAAATTCAACGATCCACAATTTGGTAACAATACAGCGGTAATAAGACATTTAAATGCGTTGAAATCAATTAAGAGTACCACTTCGACACATATCGCATTACATCAAGCTTACAAGCTGATAACGGACACTGGTAGTGAAAGTGGTGCAGTTTTCTTTTTTTTCTTCTCTATCAAAATTTATATTCTTCAAATAAGTTGCAGCAATTTTCGAAAAAGCTAATTGCGGAAGTACGTGTAAATGGTTGCAGGAGTACGTGAAAGAATTAAAAAGATGATTATCATATTTACGGATGGACACTCGCAATATTCACCACAAGAAATGGCCTTACGTCTTAAAAATGAAGGCGTGGAAATTTTCGCGATAGCATTAACCCCAGCACCATATGCAGATGAGAGCGAACTATTGGACATCACGCAGAATTCGGATCATATTTTCACGCCTGTTAATTTAAAGGTTCTAATAATAACAGTATAAATGTAATTAATGAAATTGATAATTATTAAGTAAGTTCTCCTATGCTTTCAAATTCATATGCAACAGACGCTAACTAGATAAAATTTAGACTAACTTACGTGAAAAATTTAGGCTAACTTACAAGAAAACATTATATTGCTTAAATTAGAGAGGATAAAAAACATGATGCTATTTAATTAAATATTAGTAAATTAAACGTTATTTTTATGCAATATGCAATGGGATTCAATATGTCCATTCCAATTGTCTTTCTATTAATCGTTCAAAATTTTGTTATATTTTATTTTCTAAATATTCACTGATATCGGAATAAAATTATAGAACTAATTATCTGCTACATTTAGATTCAAAAATATTGCCTATTTCAGGATTTCGAAACCAAATTTCTACCGTATATTGGCTTTGGTTGTGTTGGTGTAGATTTGGGATCTGATCCAGAACCAAGGATTCGTGGTGCTACCGATATTACTTGTGATAGAAGTTCTCTTACACTTACTGTCCGAACGCAGCAGCCAATGACAGGCCTTATGTATGCACAACAGTATTACGATGATACGAGATGTGTGAAGGTAAATTTCATTTTATTTAATTAGTCAATCTTTCATCCTGTTCGTTTTAAGACGGATTCTTTGTATAATAATCGATTTCGAACAGAGAAATTTTGAAATTTCGGAAAAGATTGCATAAGTGATAGATTATCATATTTATATAATTGATATGATATAAATTGAAGCATGAGCTTCAAAAATTTGCTGATTTAAATTGTTTAAAGAAGTTTACTCAGCTTTAAAAATGTTATTAATGTGCTTGTTTAATGATTTATTTTTATAGGTAACTGATGGATCATCCAGAGAAATTTCGATCACATTTTACGAGGGCACATGTGGCCTTATTAAAATACCAACTACAGTATCTTCCTTTTTTCTTTTTATCAACTGAAAAACTTTATAATTAATTTTCAAACAAACATGCTTTAATCTTCTCGGGATATTTTTTGTTCATTTTTTATTTATAGCAACGCGATGGCTATACATTCAATATTACTGTGATATTGCAATTTCATCCAATTATCATCACAAGAGCTGATCAAGTATTTTGTATTTCGAATATAATACAATTTGATTTATTTGCATTTTATAGCATTGGCGTAAGTGAATTTTTATAAACAGCATTTACTTTGAAAATGATTTGTTGTAAAAATTACAGGGCTTAAGTATATCATGCTTCTATCAACAACCAGTGCCACCACAAGAAGTGGGTCGTTCATTAATTAAGAAACTTAGCGATACTGAGTGCTCATATCGACTTCATCGATTTGCTCCTGATCAATGCGTTCCATTGGATGCTAAAGTTGGAGAATCGTTATATCATAGATGGGAATGCAATAGTCGTAAGTTTATACTGAATTCAAATCTTGCTAACACATTCAAAAACTAGTTATTCATAAAATAAATACATTTGCATGATTAATTTAGGATCAGGCAGAAATTTAGTTTCAAAGAGATCAAGCAATGCCATTGCACTATATTATATCACATCTGTATGATTAGAGATGAACTGATTATCTATCTTCTTGATAGCATCTATCGAAGTTGTTTTATGGTTTTTATTTTTCCATTTCTTAAATAAACTTCAATTTATTTCAGCATCAAATTATCAATATCTGGTACATGATTGTTTCGTTAAATCAGAAACGAAAAATGTGCTAATTATGGATTCCAACGGGTAAGCAAAACATTAATAGACAATCTCAATTATCCACTGTCAACTTATAATATGCAATATACAACTGTGAATTGTTTTTGTTTCAGATGTGAAGTAGATCCACATTTCCTGGAAACTCCTGATTATACGAAATTTTCTAAGAACTGGAAAAACGATGCATATATTTTCAAGGAAATGAGCGTATTCAAATTCCCGGGAGATGGTAATGTTGTCTTTCAATGTCAGATATCACTGTGTGATATGGAAAGCGATGATGCATGCAAAACTATGATTGTTAGTTTTTATTTTTAGATTTAGTAAAGGTTTTTTTTTTTTAAATTTTTAGAAGACAGAATCATAAGTTCCGTTATATTCCTATAGAGAACTACCAATACGAATGTATTTAATCGACGGCATTACTTTTTACAATTGTTTCATTTGATATAAATTTTCTTTGAAGCCTCCACGCTGCCCGCATAATTCGACGTTAAGGTTAGGACGTGAAACACGAGCTAAGATCAAACCCGGATTCGCAATGACCTTTGATGTGGGAACTCGAATGTTAAACGTTTTGGAAAATGAATCAACTCGGCCGGCTACTTCTATTAAATATTGCGATATCAGGATATAAATAATGTTCCAATGGATTGCAATCTATGAATTCTAGCTTTGAATTGAAAAAATAAGAGGGCAAAAGCCTCATGAGGAGTTTTTTAGAGTAACTAAAAGATTTCAAGTTTGAGATGGAAAATGCTGGATTTCAAGTTTGAGATGGAAAATGCTGGACTACTCCTACCCATCTGAATTCTGAAAACTTTTCGAAGGGACTTTGTGATTTTAAATCTGAAAAGTTGTTATTTAACATTATATCAAAAATATATTCATTTGTTTTATGACATTCGTTCCACACAGCGGGTATTTCGTGTATAAAACAATATTTTTCTTATGTATTGATGGCATTGGATATTACTTTGATATTAGTTCTTTTTACTTTCCTTCCGAGAATACTGGCAAAGCGATTTCTTACAACATTAAAGGTAAAGAATGTTTGTGTCATCTGATCATTCTGTCCAAAATATCGATTTGATTGGCATATGTCATGTCTAATAATTAATTATCTATATAAAAAGTCTGTTATTGCAGCGTTTTGTCTGATTGTTTCTTTGTTTAAGTTAATAATGACAGTAAGTATTGGTTTTGTTTGTAATCTGGACACATGCATGTAAATAATTAGTAGGGATCTCATCAATTGCAACGTTCCTTTGAAAAGCTATAGCATGTTTTGAAAATAAAATTCATTTTTGTTTGAAATTCTGGAAATTTTTGAGTCCTAAAGCAGTGTTTTCATGTGATGAAGGATTTCGAATACATTACTTTTCCTGCTTGATTTCTTGTATTACTGCTTTCAGATCCATCTCTCTCCAATATTCGAAATGATGCGTTAGCTTCATGTGTTTTCAGGGCAGCATAACAAATAGCTATTTAATGCAAAAGAATAAATGATTAGAAATTATACTGATTGATTTAATTATTTCTTTCAAAAGCCTCTATTCAAGCTCTTCGCGAGTAATTAATTAAATACCACTAACAGTAGGATAATTGTTATGTTTCTTGGTGGTAAAAATGTATTCAAAAATAATATGCAAGTGATGCAATGCTTTTGGGTACATAGGAGTGCTCAAGGTAAAATAAGAAGTGTTCCAAGTCTACTACATCGGATTAAGGGATGAAAAACGACTGTTTATAATCAAAGAAAAAAAGAAAATTCAGCATTGTTAAATGGTTCATCAAAAATTCTTTGCATTTGGTAGATATATAGCTAACTTAAAATGAGCAACAACGCCAACAATTACGTAATTTTATCATTAAAAACTTTAATAGACGGTTGTGCCTTCTGGATAAATCCTTGCTGATAATGAGGTCATGAAATTACTATTGTTAGAAACTGCAAAATCTTTTCGCACAAAAATCTCAGTCTCCAATTATATCTGACTAAAATTTACATTTATTAACTAAAGGAAAATACATAAAGCACTGCTACTTTCACAGCTTCAAAAGGAATCTTTTTCAGGACAAATGTAGGATATGACACTGAGTCATCGAGAGTTATGGGGTACTGTGCTTTTACTTTTAAAAGCTCCACTAAGCATTTAATATTTAAAATATTGCAACAACCCTAACTTGTTGAGTATTTTGATAAAATATGACAAACCAGCAAATTTCTCTAAATACAACCCATAAAAGACTTACATATTGGTAATATTCGGATAACTATTAATTATCTTAAGTATAAGTGATATTCTACTGGTTAGGCTACAGTGGGTTAGTCAAAGCACTTCATCTTCAGTTTAAAGTTCCGTACCTATCTTGCTTAAACTTCCATTCTCAACTCTTATTACGTGCTCTAACGAGATGGCCAAGATAGATCCTATGGGTTTCGCATTGTGCTATTTATGTATATTGGAAAAGACAGTCAGAGTCAAAAAATGAAAGTGAAAAATGATCCAGATTGTTAATGATATATTTTCATTTATGAAGAAATTATAGTACTGAAGAAGTAGTGGATTCAAAAGGAAGAGTTTTACCTAGACAAATGATTCGTATTCAAAGGACTGAACCCGAAGAAAATGTTGTACGCACTGAACTCCGGTTCGTTATTTATCAGTCCAGAAAGGACTTGGAAGAAAAAGCTCTTTATGAGGCAAGACAATCCAATAAAATTATTATTTTATGGTTTAAAGTATCCCAGTGGAGAATTATTGCCTTAGATGTGATCTTGCAATAACTATATCGAAATTTAAAAATTGACTCTTTATTCAAAATAACGATTACCGAAGACTAAGAGATTTCATTAAACTTTTTGAAAATTTTTAACAATTAAATGCAATATTTGATTTGAAAACTAAAAAATTTAACCAGACAAACAATTGAAGAGAAACAAAACTGCCCGGAAAAATATTTTCAATGCATTATTTTAGGAAAATATAGTCAATGAAGCAGTACATTGTTTAATGAAAAAATATGCGGAGATGAATACAGAACAAGTGCTGCCACCACATGCTCCAAAAGTTGATGATAGCAAATTTGCAAAGGTTTTAGAACATAAGTATCTATCTATCATCAGATAGCATAAATTGCATAAATATACAGACAAGCAGGTATAACCATGCTAACGTGGATTCGGACAATAATTCTGTTTCATATTCATTCGCTTTACAATGAATTGTACTTTGTTTTTATAAATGAACAAACAGTTATTTTCTGCAGAAGCTATCAAAAGACGATATATCAAAGTTTTCCTCAAGATTTAACGCTGATAAGGATTGGATAGGAGAAACACAAAAACGACTAGAAGTTTGTCTTATGCATCATATCATATTAACAGATCTCTTACCATTTTCATTGAAGGAAGATTATAAAGTGACTAATTGGTTCTAAAATTTCCTCATTGAAGATTATAAAATGACTAATCGCTTCTAAAATTCCTTCATTTTCTCATCGATCATTTAAGTTTTCGAGAGACTGACTGTCTAAAAACGACTTTTCTTTAATAGATAAATTGAATAGATAAATTAATAGATAAATTTATAAATTTATCTTTAATAGATAAATTGCCTAAAATATTTCATGAGGAGAATTACTTAGTCTTTTTTCTGACTTAATTATGCCTCCAGATCATTTCAATGACGTTTCAGTTGGTGGCAAAACGAGTGCAGACAATTGAGAAGAGCGCAACCTTGATTGGCCCTGAATTTGCAGCTTTCCAGACTCAACTCGCATCATTGCTGGCTGATTTAGATGAAAGGAAAAAGGCTGGTGGCAGTCCCGATGCTGCTTACCATAATGACCAAGTTATTCGCGAAAAACTTGAGCAACTACAGCAATTCGCTACAACAACTGCTCTTGTGAGGAGTTACGAATTTTCAAAAAATTTGTTAGTGGCGAGTGAGAAGAAATTAAACGACTGAAATGTAAAGACTTAAAACATCATTTTCCAAATGAGTGTTGATGAATAAGATTCTCAGATTTGTTAACAGTAAGTGAAGTTTGGCAACGATAAATTGCTTTTAGTTGCAGAAGATGAAATGTTTAGCCGAGAAACACGGCATAATAGTGAGTAAAGTCTTGTTATATTGAATTAATGTTATTCGCATACTGCATCTCCTGGGAAAAACTTCTCTGAGTTGTTCTTCTCAGTTATAAGCTTATTTACCTATATGCAATGCGAATCATGTCATTTGCATAATCTGAGTATTACAGGCATATATGAACCATGAAATGCAACAGCAAGACTCTCAAGCAAACTGATAAGAAGCCTATGACAGATATGATTAATTCGTTGTAGCAATAAAATATTCTGAACAAAACTGATCTCCTACAGTAAAAATCTTTTAAAATACTGTGTGATAATGTAAACGAAGGATGGAACTAAGATAGATATCGATGCACACAATGGAACTCTACCTAACATCCTTCCATGTTTTATTTAACAAAAATGCCATGCAAAGAGGAATCATAACTTCGAACTAACAAAAATCTCAAAAGTCTAGCGTGAATTATGTAAAACAAGAAGTCCATCAAACCACAGATGGCACACCTACCTGCAGCACCACTCAGATACATCCACCGAACACTAGGTTAATTTTGACTTGGCCTCATTCCTGTCTCAAAGTTCACATCGCAGTAATGCCTTATCCTTTTCATATTCTTGCTTCCCACATTTCTATCAATTACCCTCACATGTCTGACAACACTCTTCCCGTTACTCTCAATCTTTACCAAATAACATTTCTATTACTTCCCAGCCGCGCCTCAGCATAACAAAGCGAGTCTCCACTACCTATCCCTACATTTTCCTAACAATAACCCTACACTTAATCCTGAATATTTCATAATGGTTGCATGCTATGAATCATGAAATGAAATATGTTGCTGGAGTATTGTTGATGTAGAAGTTGTAAACTGCGATGGAGTGGATTCATTAGTGGAGGGATGTTATACTGTTGATTTTTAACTTTTGTTCAGTCCAGTTGATTTCACTTCACTCACTTCATTTCATTTCTATTAAAATTAAGGTGACATGACATCAAAGTCGTGACATTGAATAGTTTTTTTATATATTTCATATAAAATATATAAAAAAACTGTCTCGTGCCATGTCACTGCGTTGAATTTTGAATTGATGCTTCAATTTTTTCATTAGCATTATCAAGCTATATCACAATTCAATTTTCGTTTTATTTGTCCATTATGATGAGACATAATTGCAGGTTTCAACAGCACTGAAGAAGCATTCATAGTTTAGTTAAACGTATGACTGAATTGGAGCCAATTGGGACCAAGCAGAAGAGTCGTCGAAAAAATCGGCGAAAAGTATGCTCCAAAATATGTTTTGAAGATGACATATTTTTCGTGCTTTGAAGTTCTAATAGAAAAAAACTAGTCGAATATTTTTGAATTATGTAAATTACAGGAGGAATAATTCACTATTAGAGTGATTTACTACAGCTAAGATGTGTCCTGAATTTAATGAATTTTCAAACTTTATTTTTCAGTTTTGTTTGTATTTCTTTTCATATTTCCTCTACTGCTAATCATATTTTTACTAATTATTAGAGGAGACGTTCAGAATCAACAAGTTCAGAAGAGGAGTGGTTCAACAGCGATGAAAGTATCCACGAAGATAAGATTTCTGAAGATCAGGAAGAACAACAGTTTGCTAGTGGACCTTGGACATATGATCTCGATGTTGTGCTCGTAAAGAAGGAGTTTGAAATCAAAGATATATGTCAAGAAATGAATGCTTCCGGTACCTATTTATTTGTGATTGTCATGAATCAGTAGTGAATGTGTTAGCATGACTAAGATGTAATAATTTCAAATACCGTCGAATGTGTTACCTGTTGAGTCTGATGAACTTGTTTAATCGTTTCTGGTATACAGGAGAGTCAATTATCACTGAATTGTTTTTCTGATTTCGATTACAACGAATTGAGTTCTTTGAAAAATTCTTTAGATTTTACTGTTGAATATTTGGAAGAAAATGGTTTGGAGAAGCCTCTGCTGTTCAGAGATTCACTGAGCTCACTTGGAATGAAGTATGTTTTATCGGCGTATGATAACTGTTTAATTATTTTCTGCAGTTCAAAGCCGTTTAAATTTCAAAAAAGTAAAAGTTGGTTTTTCGGAAATTTTTCATACAGTAGTTTTTTTGTCATAAAAAAATGTTATATCTCAGTTTATATTGCGAGATGATTATGCTAACTTGGTGTATGAATTATTAGGATGCCAAAAGATGGGACGCTTACTGTGCGATGTGTGCTAAAAGCAGTTGGTGATCGTTTGGTTGAAGTGGTTGATGTGATGACACAAGGCAGCCGGCAAATGATGCTCAGTGATTTTGTTGATTATTACGAGTAAGTTCTGGGAATTTTTGGTTTCTGCATGTCACTTTAGTTTATTTCGCTAATATAAAGTGAATGTGTCTAAGTTTATGTTTTGAAACGTTTTCCAATTGTCTTTTTACACAGATCTCCATCGGCAGAACGAAAGGATTTGCTTAACTTACTTTCACTTGAATTTTCTCTCACGCCGCTTTCGAAAAGAGTACGAGGACCAACGCTAGCTCAAGAAATCGACTGGGTTGAGCTATATTGGCCAAAAGATTTGCGGAACTCCCCATCTACTTTTCCTAAAGTACAGAAGTATGTTTTAATTTGCGTAGGCAGTTTGATTCTGCATATATCTTATCACAAATATTTCTCTGCTTTTGTGAGAGTTTTCATTCTTTTTTCAGTTACTGCTTAATGAGTGTTAAAAGATCGTTCACTGATTTTCATATTGATTTCGGTGGCACATCAGTTTGGTACCACGTTTATAAAGGAAGAAAGGTATGTCCATTACAAATCCCCAATATTTTTATAATTTTGATAATATCTTATGAATATTGTGTATTGTAGACTTTCTGGGTTATTGAACCTACTGAGGAAAATATACTGAAGTATGAAAAGTGGATATTGGAGGGGTCGCAGCATGAAGCATTTTTCGGTGATCTTGTTGATAAATGTGCAAGAATCGAATTATATGAGGGTTACACCTTTATTATTCCATCAGGTAGTGTTCTTTGCTTTACACTATTTTATAGAAAACCTACAAAAATTTGGAGCAGGTACCATTGTGTTGGTGATATATTATTTTGTTTCAGGCTGGATTCATGCTGTATATACTCCAGAAGATAGCTTAGTTTTTGGTGGAAACTTTCTTCATAGTTTTTCTATTCCAATGCAGTTACGAATCATCCGTTCTGAAAATATTCTTATGGTACGATAAATATCATTCTGCTTGCAGCTCTTATAATTGTTTACTTTCAGATTAAAGAAAAATCTTGTGTGTTTTGCTTTCAGATTAAAGAGAAATATCGTTATCCAAATTATATGGAAATGGTATGGTATGTGATAGAAAATATTATTAAGAAAGCAACCGGTCACATCTACGAAATTAATAAAACGGACGAGGTAACTTATTGAAATTGCACAATTACTCGATATTATTAATTTAAAATACATTTCTTTATCCTTAATTCTTGAGTGGTGTAACTCCCGAATATCATTGAAATAATTTGTTTTGTGTAAAAATTTTAATATCCTTCATGAAATTTTATGTAATCTTTTGTTTGTTTTCTGATGCTGGTTAAAAATTATATCTTTCAGAGACTACATGGATTGTATAAGAAAATGTAAAATTGCATTTAGTCATTTCATCCATTGAGTAATTTGATTGTTTCAGAGTGTGTCGAGTAGCGATCAGAAAATCGATAGTAATACTTTAGAAGTAAAAACTGGTACTAACGCTAATGCCGATGACATTATAATACATGTGGATAACGTAGCAGAAAATGTTGAAAATAATGGTTTCTGCCGATTTTGAATAATAAAATTTTGAACTAAAATTATCTGAAATTACTTAGTTTTTATTTGATAAATCTTTCCATACGCTATTTCGGCTATTTTTATCTCTTTTAGAATTTATTTGTTCCACTTTCTATATTTCCCTGGTTATTATAAAAATTAGGATTGCTTCAGACATAAAAAGAGAAGCAAGTGAAGATATTGCCGTATACGAAGGAAATGCATCAGCAGAAGTAAAGGAGAGTACAGTGGATTCAGCTGTAGTGCAGGTAATTTTTTTATGTAGTTTTTTTTGGCTATTTTACTTTTTTGTTTTATTTATTTTACTTCTTGGTTCAAAGCACTAGCAAGTTGGGCACATTTGATGGCTTATTTCAGCCTCAGCATAATGAGAATTTAGTTTATCAGCACATTTTTTGCACAGATAAAAACTAAGCAAAGCGTACTAGTTGATAAAAAAATAGGTGGAAAGAATTTGTGTTCTGAAAAGGTAAACATTTGAATACACTGCGTTTTATTGATAGGTGAATTTTGATTGCGCAACATTCTGTAGCAAATGAAAATCAACATTTTTCGGTGAGTGTGCGGAGGGGGAGGGAACCGGAAGTGAGTGAAATGACAAATAAGCGTTAATCATAGATTTTAATTGGAATCTTGCTAACAGGTCAAATCGTCATATAAAGCAGAAGAAAGCAGTTTGGTATATAATGATGGTTAGTCTTGTTTTTTTGTGTGTTTCATTCTGTAATCTTATTTTAAGTATACAATAGATTATCGATATTAGAAATTTGTGACTTCAGTTACTTTTAAATCAAATCCTTTAAAAATTCTAGAAGTAATCACTTTCATCCTTCAATTTTTTGAGATTTACGATAAGGATTTTTACCAGGAAAGGTTACTTTTTGACAGAGACAGGTTCGCTTTTCAGAATATCTCGCAACAATCGGCAAAAGGGAACGCGAAGGGTTTAATTTATTGCTAGTTTATATGCGAGAGATTGTTAAGAATCACAGAGACGCGACAGGTCAGGAGAAGGATGATTTGTTGGATGTTTTTGAGGTGACTTATTTAATTTATTTCTTTCACTCCACTTTCATTCTGATAAATTTATACTCACTTACGTGAGTGGCGCATCATCGTTCTTTTTCATTATGTTTAAGTTTTGTTTTACATAAAACCATATCAATCATAAGTTCATTAAAACTATGACTTATCGCGGTTTTACAGAAAGTGTTAAGTCACAAAGTTCCCGAACATTTTGCAGTCGAAAAAGAAAAGAAGAAGAGTGTTGAGCAGCAAATTTCACCTAAGGTATAATTCTTGAACATTTTCTGTTTTGAAATTTGGCGCATCTTTAAGGAATGTATGTCATGTCTTGAATTTTCATTATGTTCTATATTTTTTAGTTGAACCAATGGTTGAAAGCTTTTGGGAAAAGTAAGTTGCCTACAGCCAAACGAAAAGTGCCTCCGAAGGAAAAAGGTTTGCTTTCAAATTTTGTAATCAATTCATTTTGCATTAATTGCTAAATTTATCGGTTTTTGCAGCCATCGAAATGCAGCGGTTTGTGAGGCCTAAGCCACCGAAGTCAAAAGTTAAAAGCAACAAGAAGTCGGATTGTCACAAACCTGATGGACCATTAATTGTGGGTGGCATTCCGCCAGCTATCATGCCAGCTGATGCACCTCAAGCGCCTAACCCATATGGCTATGATCCTTTGGCTTCTGTTACTCCACTAGGACACAAACAACTACCTTCTGCTTATAGGCGCACACCTGATGTAAATGCTTCTCGCCTCCGTACTTCATGATTTTAATTAATCACTTTCCATAATTTGTATTTAAGTAAGATATATACACGTTTTAGATGGCAAAGGCCCCACCGAGTCAAAAATTCCGTCTTCAGCCTCAACAACACAAAATTGTCGTAGCAACTTCTGAAAAAATGGAAGCTGTACCTGAAAAAGCTTCAGATAGATCGTGGTCGACGAGTATTACATCAGTACCTGGACCTTCAAATTATAATAAATCAATAGAATATGAAGGAACTACTGCACAGGCTGATGCCGAAAGGACTTTCCATCATAATGGTTACTTTTTGATATACGTTGTTTGAATTATGGTTAGAGTTATGGTTAATTAAGATTTAATAAGTGTAACTTTAGTAATAAATTTTTCGCTGTATTTGGAAACCATTTTTTTGTAATAATTCTCTATAAATTTTCGTTGGTTGTAGAATCAGCGCGATCTCATCGTGATCGAGACAAAGATAATCAGCGTGAAAATCGTCATACTGTAAAGGAAGAATATCCAGAGTTACAATATCGATCACCTCTAGTACGGCCTGGTCCAAGTAGTAAAGGAATAAATGTGTTCGTATTTTGATCATTTAGCCTTTCTTTTGGATCAAAAATTGTTGGAAAGAAATTAAAAGTGTTGATAAATCACAAAGAATGCAAATTTTCATCAACAGTTTTGTTTTTATGCATTTTGATCAGTTCAGAGTTATTCATACTTTTGAAAGGTTGACTTAGATTTTTAAGAATTTTCAGTGTTTCGAAACTTGGCCATAAATCGTATCGATATCCGAATAAGACTTTCAAACGACGATATACTGATTCATCTTCGGCCACTGACTGCTGGTAGTTTTTCATTAGATTAAGCAAGTTTTTGCAGAGGGCTGTTTGAAATATTGAAATCAGAACTCCGAATAAATCTTGCAATAATAATATGTTTAAGAAATTCTTTACGATTGAAGGACTCGAGGGATTAAATTATTCTCATGACATACTTTCAAAAATTCTAATTTCAATCAATTTATGATATATCGTTCCTCACTTTTTGTCATTTGGAATTATTTAAAAGGTTTCAAATGAAACACATATCAGCTAATCTAGTTTTGCCAGATTCTAGGTCAACTGGAAACAGAGGCACGAGACGTGCAAGTGACTGTGATTCAAAAAAAAATGAATATTCAATTTCTTGGCGCCCAGAAACACATTATAAATCTAATTCTGAAGATGTGTCTGGTATTTTCTCGGGATCATTTGCTCGATCTTGTCCTGAGGAAATGTCAACTGAAGTTCGGCATAATTATTTAGTACCTGGTGATCCTCGTCTTCCATCCGCAGAAGGTTTGCTCTCTTGTATTATTAAATCAGCTCTGAATAGCATTCTTTTGCTCATGTTGTTAATTATCTGATTCTGATTTCGTGGTTTTCATTTTGAAGTAAAGGAAATTTTTATGATTTTCTACACCATCGGGCTAAAGTTGAAATAATTATTTACACTTGCTGTAATTTTAGGATTATCAAAATGGTCACCTGCTACTAAAATTGCACGTGTTACTAAAGATAATGAGAGAGGCAAAAACTCTCCGATTGTTCAACCGACACGAGTTGTTGAGGCATGTTTAAATAGAACTTGGAAAAAAGTCATGTCAATTTTTTATGGATTTGTTTGGATATTTAATTTAAAAAAATTTCGTTTCTTTCGTATTCAGCTAGTATCTGGTTTTTAGAAACGGGGTTTGAATATCAATACGAATATTTCACCGTCAGGGTGTCAGAAGACGTCCTCTTCAGGAGGTCTCGTTGGAAGTTCGCAATATGTTCCGCTGCTGAATCGTGAACGAAATCCCACTCCAGCATCAACTCCTCATGCTGACATCTCGACGGTTGTTTTTTGCCATTAATATTTTTTTCATTTTTTATTGAATTTTTATCTTTTACTGAAATTTCAACATTTTGAATTCAGTAAGATTGAGTAGTTTTTTAAATTATTTCAGCAGTGTGTCCTTGGAAGTGACCATGGTACGGTTGCAGTGACATCTTCGCTTCCTTTACCGGATAGATGTCCGGTCTCGTCTGCAGGCAAGATTTCTGTTCATAACACTTGATTCTTAGTGATCTGAGGTATTTTCTGGTTTCTTTTATAGTTAGCTTAACTTTAATTATTTCAGAATCCCATGGGAGTGCAGTAGTTGAACCTATGAAGTCCGCAGAAGGAATTAAAAAACCTGAAATCCGCGACCTTTCAGTCACATTGAATGAAGACAAGGAAGATGTAAGAACTGATTTTGAATTTTCTTTTTTGTATTTGTATGTTGCTCCATTTTCATGAAAGATGAAGTCTTTGTAGGGTGCAGAAATTATGACAGCGACTGAAGAATTAGCAGAATTGACTAAGGTGTTTGATGCAGACGAACGAGATTCCGAGAAAGAAAGGACCGGAACCTTGATGGTTTGTTGCTCTTCATCAAGTTGTAATTATTATTGTACTGTTTTGATTTGCATATCTTTATTAATTGTTTCAACCACTCAGTAAATTTTATAAAATGGTTGTCCTAATGTGAAATCTGTTATTGGAAAATGTGACATGCATGCGGGAAAACAAATATAGGTATTTCTAAGGTCGCAGTCGAACAAAGAAAGCTCAAGCGGCAGAACTGGAGTAGTTTAAAAAAGATTGATGACAGTGAAAAAAATGATTCGTCATCCCCTGTCGAAAATGTAGAAGCTAATTCAGTTTCTCTACCACCGAAATCATCAAGTAAGTATTAGTTATAAAAAGGTTAAAATCTAATGAACTGCCAACTGATTTCTGATTTTAAGAAAGTCGCTTCATATTTTCAACTTGAATGATTATCAAAAGTTCTCTCTTTAGGACACGATAATTTTGGAGAAAGCATATATAATAATTATAAATTAATTTTGAGGCTTCCTGATCTTTTCAATGAAAATGTGATTGCGATTGAATGCATAATCATGATCATTATATTTGATTTCAGAAATTCCAACCGAAACTGTTTTACAAAATTTAAGTTCACTCACTGCGGAATTTAATGCTGTTGTGGATTGAAAACGAACAGTTATTGATGTTTTATTTGAGACATTTATGTGTTGTTTGAATTTCCCATCACTCGAATTTCATTTATTTAATATTCCTTTCTGTTACTGAAAATATTTTCGATAGTAAGATTGAATATGAGACATTTCGATATGGGATGTTGAAATGTCTCGTGTTAAACAGTTTTAGAAAAATCGAAGATAATAAATAGAACTTCTTTATTTGTAAATATGATAACAGGCAAATACCATCTTACAAGGTCTTTTTTATAATATTTCATTTTCCTATACTTGTTATTGCAGTGTATTTTTAATTTCCGTCGATAACGTGATTGTGCATGATTGTAGTATGAAGAAATAAGTAAATAGAGTATCATGATTTTGATGTTTTCAGTACAGTTTAATTTCTTTATTGGAAATATGTCTTGCACTGATGAAATTGTTTACAGTGATTTATAATAATAATAATGAAGCTACTCTTAATAGTATATAGTTAACATATTTATTAGCTCGAGATGATTGAAATCGAGCTGAAGTCTCGTTTTGCAATGAACCTCTGAACTTTAAGAAAAATTAAGAGTGTGTGTGTTCTTTGTTATGTGAGGAATTTACCATGACTATAAAAATTTCGAGTTAAACGTATTCTGGTTCAGCATATTTTCTAGAAGTTGCCATTGCTAATATTTCATTGTTGAGTGAGATATTCTGAGGCTTTTTGAGTCATTGACAGCAAAGTTCATGTTGATTGGTGGAAGACATAGCATTTTTGTAAAAGAATGGTATTTCATATATCGTTACAATTTCGAAAAAATGATATTTGATCGGTTCAATATCATGCAAGCCGTGCTAGTGTAGATTTTTCAAAAATTCAGAATTTCATGTTCGAAGTGGTGGTGCTGAAGACGAGATAGCAAGCAAATGTCAAGCATTGTGGGGGAAAAGGTTTTACATGAAATTAATTGCGCCAGTTTCTGACATTGGTTTTTTTGTACGACTTTCTGCTATAGGTAATGGTACTCCGTGGGAAAAATGCAGTGCTAGTGGTCATTGGTGATATTGGTCGAAGTCCACGAATGTGTTATCATGCTAAGTCATTGGCGGACAAAAATTATCGAGTGCAAATAGTGGGCTATACAGATTCGGCAATACATCAGTCCATACAAGAGCACCCATATATTAGGTATTTTGATGATGCACTTCTACTTTTCTGTTATAATTTATAATTGAAATTCAGTAGTTAGATACTAATATTATGCTTTCTTTTTTAATCCATTATTAGTTTTCCTTTGTATTTTAATTAATTATTTTTGCAGTATTACATCACTAAAATGTCCGCCAGAATACATCTGTAAATTGCGGCCTATCTTTGCTTTGGTACTGAAATTTTTGTGGACTTTAATTGTTCTATTGTTGACGCTGTTCTTCCGAACAGATTGGCCTCTGTTGATTATGGTGCAGAATCCTCCTGGATTACCATCTCTTTTTGCTTGCTGGCTGGTTATTTCTTTCTATAAATTTGTTTATTTTTTAGAAAATTAGTTAATCTTATATGAAACATCAAAAAAACGATGTGTCGCTTTATATTTTTTTATTCCTTCCTATTTATTTCATATGAAATTGTCTTTGGAGATGCTCTCTAATATATAAAATTTCAGTGTGCTCGTGTTAGAAGAGCACAGTTTATCATTGATTGGCATAATTATACCTATTCAGTATTACGCAAAAAATATAATATCGATGAAATACGCATTGGTCGTGCGGCTGATCGACGAATGCAGAATTCTTCAAATTGTTCTGACGATCATGGCTTGGGTATTGTAATTTTTGATTGCGTTGCATTGGAAAATCTGCAGTTACATATTAGAAATTTTGGAAAATATATCATAAAGTGAAGTTTTATCTGCATTTCAGCGGTAAATGATGTCTCCGACATGCGTGGAAAAAGAATGACACGAGTAGAACGAGCTGTTCAGGCTGCGGCAGCTACAGCAAATAAGAAGAAACGCCAAGCTGATCGAAAGAAAAGATGTTCAATCATGCAAAGGTTAGCTTCCAGCGGAGAAAATAAATTTGACTTATAGTTGCATAATACGGATATCAGCTAACTGATAAGTAGTTTTTTTTTTTTTTTTTGAAGATTCCTTTCAGATATGTTGAGCAGATATATTATTGGGAAGGTTACTTTGGTCGTCGTGCTGATTTGAACGTCTGTGTAAGTCATGCTATGCGGCAAGATATGTTCGATGCATGGGGGATAAATGCAGCTACAGTATATGATCGGCCTCCATCCTGGAGCTTTCGGAAATTGACTGATGAAGATCGACATAAATTTCTTTTGAAATTAATCGATTACGATGAAGAATTCGAAATTTTTAAACTTGTTAACAATCCGGGCTTGCATCGAGATTGCGTTTTCGTAGAAGGTTACTTTTTATTGCACATTTGATTTGATTTACAAGTACTCTATTTATGCAGCAGCAAACGATGAACTTATTGCTTTTTTTTCCAGAAACGCTACTTTCTTATCGTGATAGTGAAGATAAAGTCCATCTTCGAAATGACCGTCCTTTACTTCTTGTTTCGTCTACAAGTTGGACAGAAGATGAAGATTTTGGAGTCCTACTTGATGCGCTTCGTGAATTTGATAATATTGCTAAACTTTCTTCAAAAGCGTGCGTTTCTTAAAATTAATTATTTCTTTCTAAATATTATCTTTTATTTTTTTTTCTGAATGTCGTTTTAAAATAGGAATCCAGCAACTCGTCTTCCATTCATAACATGCATAATTACTGGACGCGGACCTTTACGATCATATTATTTGGGTCGCATTGAGCATATGCAAATGCAAAATGTTGAAATATTAACACCGTGGTTAAAACCAGAAGATTATCCACTCTTGCTTGGTTGTGCCGATATCGGAGTCTCTCTGCATACTTCCACATCAGGCAATAAGTTTATTTAATCTAATAGTTTCAGTGGCTCATATGCTATCAGCTTTACTTTTAGAGAAGATAAATGTAAAATAGATGTTAACAGTGCGACTTGCAAAATCACTTTTATTTTAAAATTTTAAATACAAGTTTATTAGAAAACATTAACTAGTTCGTGTTTTTATGATTGAAGCATTATAGAAGGTTCATGTTTTCACGTTTAAGGTCTGGATCTACCAATGAAAGTAGTGGATATGCTTGGGTGTGGTTTACCTGTCATTGCCAAACGATTTGGTTGCATCGGTGAGCTTATTTCAGATGGTCATAATGGGCGACTATTCGATACTTCTCATGAACTTTCACATATCATTAAATCATTGACATGTGGTTTTCCTCTTCATTGCAGTGTTGGTTTTTATTCATATTAGAAATTTAGATTATCGTATATAGGTTAAAACGGTGGAGAATTATCTTAAAATTTGAGCTTAATTAAAGTTATCAAATTTTACATATTACAGCAATTAAATGCACTAATATCAAATGTTCATTCCGATCCTTTAATATCGTGGAACAAAAATTGGGATGCGTGCATGTGGCCATTGGTGCGAAGTTATGGAGCTTTGTCAATTGAGGATCTGTCACGACGTCAAAGGTACAAAATCTTTAACTTTTGCCTTAGTAAATACTGTAAGAGAAATGACGCAGCCGTTGCTGCAAAAAAATTAATAGATGTACTAACTACTAACCGCTGGTATCAGAGGACGTGAGAAAATCTCATTAAAAATCACTTCCCCAGGGCTGAAAAGTAATTTTCCCACCCTCATGAAGGAATTTTGCTGTAATGTTTTGTCTGTATAATAATTGTTAAGATTCGCTGTGATCTCACTTCAAAATGGGGTAGAAACTGTTGAAATGCATGACATATCGAAACCGAAGCAACAAGATAATGGTGAGCATAAAAATACCAGGTTTGAAGATGGAACTGCAGAATTGGGACTGGAAATTAGAAATAATGAAGCAGTAGATGATTGTGATAGTGATTGTTTATGAGAACTAATTGAAAAACCCTAGAAACATTCAGTTTGATATTCAAGATAAAATTTTAGATTCAAAAAATTAGTTTTAGAGGGTTTTGTAAATTTTCAGTAATCGAAAAAGTTTGATCCATCTTGGTTTTTTTGTGTATAAGAAATTAAAAGCTTTGATTCCTACGATTGATAATTTGTGGTTGTTGTCCACAGCCATTTTTCCCGTCCTCCTTATTTTTATATTTATGTGAAACCTTTTCATTCTGTTCTTATTTTGGGGCCATCTATATGAAAACTAGAAGCAACCTGTTTATAAAAGATGTATGTAGATCTAAAAATTAGATTATCTATTTCAAGACAAGAAAATTTTCTTTTATTGATTCTTGAAGACTAATAATTACTTCTTATTGTATGACCACGAAAATGATGAAGTGGGACTGAAGTTAATCCACATATTACACATCGTTTCATTTTATTAGAATTTACAAGATCTATTACTCTGTTGCCATGTTACCTTTGTACCTGATTAATTTATTTGTACCCTCCATACTGTTGTAGCATTTTTATGTTGTTGTGATGTGATAAAAGAATAATTGATATACTCATCAAATCTTAAACACTACTTTTGTTTTGGATTTATTTCATACCTACACATTATTTATTTCATAGCTACAAATTTCATGAGTATCGTAACTTTAAATAAGATGTGAACTGAACACTTTATATGGACCTTCAAAACAAGACATTCATTATTTACTCTTATTTAGTTTCTGTCGTCTGGCGGCTCGAAACAGTTAGTGAATGGGGTATTTCATAGCTACAAATTTCATAAATATCGTAGTCTTAAGTAAGATGTGTTCAGTTGGTCGTTTAAAATAATGTGTTCCTGACGCAACTAAGTGGAAGCGTCCAATAATCTGTTTTGTAAATGAATTTCCCAATGTTAGGGAAATTCGTATATTTCTCAACAAGATGGAGTTGAGGTAGTACTTCTTGTTGTACTAAAAGGTTATTTTTAAGTATGACGTTGTCTGTTACTTCCCGCCATTTGCTATTTTTGCCGTTCCTTAGAATTTTGTTAGATGATCCATATTTCAGAAGTAATGAGACATCCTTATCATGCTTTATTTATCATCTCACAGATTGATATCCCTCTCCTGTCGAGATGTGGGTCAAATTCATTGTTACAAATAAGCATTTAGGCATTGTATTACTTTACAGTAAAAATGATATCGCTGGTGACGATTGCGTGCATCCTTCCCATAGTTCTTATCTTTATTTTCGCATTACCTATCATTGGTTGCTGTAAGTTTCTCTTCAGACCCAAACATTTCAAACATATTTTACATGATTAAACAATACTGGACAATACATTTTCTAATTATTTTAGGGAAATATCTTTGATATATGAAAATTACACAGTTTTTTCAAAGACTTTTAAGCAAACATAGTGATTGATTTAAAATACATCAAAGTGTTTTCTGATCGATGTGAGAGTTACGCAACATATACCCCCGTAATATTAATTTATGCAGAAATAATGTTCTCGCAACCAACGTTATAATTTCCGAATTATCATATTGTTCTATTTATTTAATAATATAATTATATAATTAAATTATTTTTGCCAGCAACAACTGAATGTTATGAATTGTCAAGTGGCAATTGAAAGAGAATAAAACTTTTCAGAGTACGTTAGGGCAATGCATTAAGCACTAGGCGCACTTTGATGTATAAATTCTTTAGCTTCCAAAAAAGAAGAATCTAAAGCAGGCAGAGAAGGAGGAGGAAAAAAAGATGAACCAGCAGTTCAGCAACAATCAACACCAACGCCGAGGTCAATACCTGCAGCAACACCTTCTTCTATACCTACTGTACCTGCAGAAAAGGTTTCACCAACTATTTGAAAGTATCATATATATTACAACTATTATTTGTATTATATATATATATATATATACATATACATGTATACATGTATGGTACAGTACTGAATCGATTTTTTCGCTTTTCAGAAACCAAACGAAAAAGAAGTTAACAAAGAGGTCTCTTTTCAATTCCCATCACTTTTCTACTTTTTTCTTTGATGGTCCACATCTAGGTCACAAAAGTTAAGTGACTTGTAAATGTTTCACAAAAAATTGAATGCGAAAAAAATTAAGAGAATATCAACATATAGAAATATTCTACCGTTCGTTTTGTGGATCAAAAGAAATTTGAAGTAGAAGCATGAAAGTTAAAATATAAGTTTCCTAGTTCAATTTAACAAATTCCAAGAAAGCAGTAATTTTTCGAAATTGCAGATTGAACCAAAAAAAGGGACTGCTGCAACTGGAGGAGGTGGTGGCGGCGATGAGGAAGAGGGGGGTTATGAATCATGTCCTGATATGACACCTGAACAACTTGCCAAGATTGCAAATGAGTCTCCACCAAAATAAATTGGTAGATAATGCACATAAAACACATAAGGAGAATGGTAGAAAAAAGAAAGAAAACTGAATTTGAAACTTTACTTATTTGTATAGAGAAATTGTTAAAAGAAAAAATAAATAGCAAAGTATTGGGTAAGTTCTTGGATCTCATCGTGATTCTTTCACTAAACTGCTTGAGTTATTTATACTTTACCAATGAGGAGTAAAATTTAGATAACGAATGATGTGTGTAAATATGAAATGTCAAAATCAGAAGTTATAAAACTGATTAACCATCGACCATTATTATTATTGCAAAATGTTAAAATGGTTACATTTCCTGGATATTACTAATGTTCGACGCGTCATCAATGTCATGAACTCATATAATACAATATAGTATATGCTGTGATGCAAATTTTTTCACAACTTGTCAGTTTCCCAACTACAAAAGTTATAAAATGATTGCTATGTTGAATACTTCCATCTCTTTTTCTTACTTCAACAAATTTTTCAAATTCATGAGAATTATTTAATAACTAAAATATATTGCTTTCATTTCTCATACCACTCCAAATCGATTTATTTTTTAAATTGCTCAGGCATATCACAGACTACTCTTATTAAACTTTAGAAGTGCCTAATTACATCTGGCTGTTATAATTTTAATCATGGGAAAAAATATATATACCATAATAGCTTACAGATAATGGCGAAAGATCACGCAGACTAATTTAAATACCATTCATTTTATCACTACTAGGAAGCATCCTAATTAATTAGACTAGAATGAGCATTTTTAGCTAAACAAATGTAATGCATGAGAGCAAAAGAGACTTCGTGAATGAGGAATTAAAAACGATAGCGCCAGCGAGATGTTAAACACACATAAAGGTAACAATAGCGCCGGCAAGCAATGCGTGTACATAATTGAGGATAATGATGACGAAATGAAACTCACTGATCCGTTGCACATGCAAGGTTAGCATAAAGATGAGAGTGGAAAGAAGGAATGAATGGAAATATTTCCGATGAGAAGGTCGATGTTCATTCTTTTCCTCATCCTCCGAAATGGAACGAGCAGTAGCCACTGCATGCAGACAATATCTATATAGAAAGGTTAGATCGAATGAAACATACCAACACTCATTAACACTCATTTTCTAAATTATTTCTAATTTAAATTGTTTCACTCACTATCATTCCCTATTTTACTTAGAAAATCTTTTCCTAAACAACTAATTTACCGTAAATAGTAACTCTTCCTGGGACTGAATGTGATCAAATGGTCTCAAAAACGCTTTCAAGAAGTTCTATCGATACTCTTCTAGGAAGAGTTTATTAAAAACAATCTGTACCTATCGGATGAAGCGGAAAGTTAACGAATACTACATAAATACTTTATTAGGGCTTTTATTCTCATCACAATCAAAAACATGCACAATTTACCTGATAGCGTAATAAACGAAAACAGAATAGATGAGATAAAGGATTGCATGATGATGAGGTGGCCAAAGTTCGTACATCTTTTTTAGTTTCATACATTCTTTTGTATAGCACAGGAACTGAAATGTACAACCATTTCTAAGGAAACAGGGCGACTTTACTTCTTGTGAATAAATAAAATCCAAAAATACAAATTGAATTTGTTCAAAAGTTTCAATCTAATCCTTATTTTTTGCAAAAGTTTTCCTTTTAAAGTTGTTTCAAACATTCTTATAAGGTAGAAAAGAAAATTTACATGGGAAATGTATGACCTTTTCGAAATATCCAATGTGTGAAGTCTGGAAAACTACTGTAGATAGTAATAGATTAAGTATTGTTGCAACAGACAATTGTAGCGATAAATTTAACCAATACAAATATTTTTTGCAGTTTTCCGGGAAAAATCTCGAAGTTATGAGAGCATACGTCATTTGCTATGAGAACTCGAGAGGTGATCGATAAGAAATATTAACAAATTGTACCAGTTTTTTTTAGGAAGAAGATTTAGATAAACAAATTACATTATATATCATCTTTTAAGCATTAACATCAGTTGAAAATAAATTTGTAAACGACGACTGAATTCAAATCCGATATATTACTGTTTTGGTCGTAGAATTCTAAAAGCATCAATAATGATTTCAAAAAATCCATATTTGCTTTTTCCCTTCTATGAAGTTCCTTATGGAGCTCGAAAAAAAGTAACAGAATATAGCGTACCACTACTATCACAGCATCAAGGAATGCTATCTTGATCCGGAAGTGAAAATATCTATTCAGAATCAAAGAAAACATCAAAAATGCAAACAACTCCGCTGAAAATATGTGCAATTTGCAACGCTCCCTAAATGTGTATTCCTTGACCTAATTGCAATGGAAGACACTGACCGATTTCCCATTACTGTTGCCCTTGAGAATTGCAAAACGAACCTAACATCGCAATTTCGAAAACAAATCTCGGATATCGGCTCATCTGTCTTGGGGCGGATATCTACCATAAGAACTCGAAGATGCGCCTGAATGAATTAGCAGTCCCACACCTGTCCTAAGTTTGCTGTCCAGTCACCCGCAAGATCGACCTCCCCTTGCTTTTGTCCCGCTGCTATAAGGTGAAACATACTGAACCATTCTAACCTCGAAAATTCAAACTCCAAAGAACGATTAGGACAATGTCTATCGAAGTTCACGAAAATGAACAAGAGACACTTTTTTTTTTACAAACAACTTATTTGCATTTAAGTAATTATTCGTTTTGAAAGCTTGAACAGTTGATATATCCATGAATAATTTATTCTCTGTACGTTCTCGTACATAACAGATGAAGTTAAAAATAAATTGAAAAACAAAATGTGAAGTTAAACAGCAAAAAAACCGTACTGGGTCCGTTATAATACAGTGGAGTTTTAGCCAGTAAACACAACAATCACATTATATCAAGAACTTTCTTCAGCTGAACAACCAACTGCCAATCTGCTTTTGACAAATCATTTCGAAAATGTGCTTTGCAAACGTCTATTGTTTCACGCGTTATCTAAATTGAGAAAATAAGCTTCATATGACTCTCATTTTTACCGCTTGTCGGTTGCTGAATAAGGCTCTCATTTTTACCGTTTGTCGGTTGCTGAATACCTTGCCGTTATTACAACTGTTTAAAAGTTATTCAATTTCTCCCGCCAATTCAACATGCTGTGTCTTAGATGATTTAGCATATTAAATTAATACACGCCAATAATGACAGTTGACAGTATCGACACTATTTGAGACTTGTAAAAAATTAAAAATTTTCATAAATCTTGAATAGTCAAGTATAAGCAAAGCATAAATATATTGAAACATCAAATTTTTTATTTCTCATCAAAATTTTGAGGAACTTACTCGACTGACCAATGTATCTTGATGCGTGAAATGTCTCCCATAAAGTTTTGGTGCTTCACCAGTTGTGTTTTCTATTTTTATGCAAACTTCTTCCCCTGTACCAGCTATTTCCACTTGTTCATGATTCCGCTCAATACTTGACACAGTACCGATGAAGATAGACTGAAATTTAAACTTTATAGAAAAAATGATTGAGAAAATATGACTTTAATAAACTCGAAGCTTGAACAGCTTCAAAAATTCATAAGAACTTACGTCTTTAGAGGGAACGCACAGTGGAACACCTCGTTTGAGTTGTCCAGCTTCAACAGATACACCAATTATAATGGGATTACGGGCATTAAATATGTGTTGCGGAAGAATCCTCAATTTGCATGGAAAAATTGCTAAATGTTCGTTCTGCCGTCGACGTTTAAGTCTCAACTCTTCTCTGAAATTTATAAACAATAAATAAACCTTCCTTTCACTTTTGCGGATTTATTTTCGGTACCTCTGGTGTTATTTTTCTGGACACAAAATTTTCCTATCATTTCCAGTATCCATAATATCAAAATCATATACCTATATTTCAAGAAACTGTCCTCCAGATGATAAATAATGTCAGCGGAGAAAATGCGAACACCTTCACTGGCTGCAAACTGTTCCACCTCACGATCAACACGAACATCGAATGCAAGTATGCAAGCATACTCTTCTTTCCTCTCCAGCATTGCTGCTGCTTTCTGCACATCTTTTTTATGCACTGGCCCGATATTCACATTTGAATACGGTATTTTTTGCGTCTAAAAAATGGAATTTTTGTGATATGGAAGTTTATAAACTTCTACACATAAGAAGAAACCGAAAAAAACAATTTTTTTGAAATAAATATAGTTGCAGGAAAAGTTTCAGAAAGATTAAATCATACTCTCAGAAACTCCAATAAAGCTTCTAATGAGCCTAGTGTACTAGCTTGAACGTACACACCCTCGGGTTTCTTCTTGATAGCCATAAGAGCTTTAGATAACTGCGCTTCGCAGTTCTCCCTGAAACAAAACATATTTGCGATGTTAATATAAGTAACAAATTTCCAGGAGAGAAAAGAGGAAACATTTTCAGGAATAGGAAACATACTTGAGTACGAGAAGTTCGTCTTCCCGGTTTGCAACAAATATGGGCAAGCCAGCAAGCGCTTTTTCCAAATTCTTTGCAAGTACTTTAACTCCCTGTGCACCTTTTATCACTTGGTAATGCTCATATGCATTCTAAAAATATATGTCGATATTCATGTATTGTGCGTATGAAATACACCCTTCGTTCAGACAAATTTCACGACTATAACCAAACATATGCAAGATGACTCAAAACTGCTTTCATAAAAATCTCAACAATAACCGCACAAACTACAATTTTCAAATTAAAAGAAAATATTAAACAAAAAATTAATTGTACCTTGACCCTCAATTCTTTTAAAGGCTGCGGCATCAACAGCTCGCGAATCTGAGTAATAATGGCCCCATCAGTACCCGTAAGAACGATAATATCGCCGATTCTTAACGAGCCATTGACTAGTATGACATCTATTGTAGTGCCCAAACCGGGAAGAGATTTAACCTGGAAAAAAGTGCAAGATTTTTCATGTCTTGTTAGATAAAATATAAATATACATTATGCCATTAGAAATAAGAATTTAAAAAAAATTATACTATTTTCCTTACCTCCATAACGGTACACTCAAGCTCTTCGCAGTATGCTAACTTCTCAGCTAGCCTATTTTGTGAATCATTAACAATATGTGCCATAATATTACCAATACCATCGCCAAGAAATGCAGAAGTCGGGACCATACTAATATATTCGTTCAAATCTGGATTTTCGTTTGCCATAACAACGTTTACTCCCTTCAAAAGAATCGAATAACACATGAAAATCAACCATAATTCTAGTGGAAATATTTCTGTTAGTATGACAAATTTTATAATGTTCCAACTTCATCTATAAGTATTGATATATACCTAATGCTCAAAGCATTTCCTTTTTCATTTCTTTCGAACTAAAACAGAAAGACAAATGTACCTGTTCAGCGAACTGTAGCACGACTTTATCTTTAAGTTCTTTGAACTGTAGCTGGGTATTGAGTGGTTGTGATTTCAAATGCTGATAGATATCCTTTCTTGGGTTCGATTCGTAATCGTATAAACGATCGATCTGAAGGCAATAATTACAGCAACCATAAGATACGAAAATTATATAGAAAAAAGCACATTAAAAATGTAAGAAAACACATTAAAAATTACCTTATTCAATGCTATCACAAATGGAGTTTGCCTCTTCCTCAGCAAATTAAACGACTCGAGTGTCTGCTGTTCAATCCCATGCATCAGATCAACAACCAAAATTGCATAATCACATAATGAAGAACCACGAGATCGTAAATTCCTAAAAAACTAGGTTGACACTCAAAATAAAGCATAATAGATTTTATACAGAAATAAATCTCATATAACATCAACCGTATACCCTCAATCGCTGTACCATTCTCATATGAGTTTAATTATGTACATTTGTTGTGGATTGTTTTATTTTCAATATTGCATCACTTAATAAATTTTTTATTCTCCATTCTAACCTTTTCCATAACAATAATTTGAATCTTCCATAATAAACGAGTTTCCAATATCGCGATGAGACGGATTTCGCACGATACATCATTATTAGCATGACATTTATAAAAATATATACAAAATCTCAAAGATAAAAGAACTTACGAAAAACTTTCGTGACCCGGAGTATCAATTATTAAGAGTCCAGGAATTTTCACTTCACTGCCGATGAACTGAAAAAAAATTGCAAAGAATGTAAATAAACACAAAGTAACAAAAAATTAGAGCGGAAATGAGGAAATCAGAATTAATCACTCACATCTCGAACCATTTTTGTACGTTCCATAATTGCAGCAGCCGGCACCTGTGTAGCACCGATTTGCTGCGTTATTCCACCAGCTTCTCCATCTTGTACATTTGTGCGCCGTATCTATTAAATAAATAAACAGATGAGAACAGATGAGACATATCAATGAAGAGTAGGAAGAATATGACCAAACAACAAAAGTGAAGGAATTGAAGTACCGTATCCAACATCTTCGTTTTTCCTGTATCGACATGTCCAAGCACACAAATGACTGGTGATCGTAAGTTGTTCGTTGAACGTTTAGCTTCAGCTTGTTCACGTCGCTTCTAAAACGAAAATCTTAAAAAACATAATAAGATTGATAGTTTCGAGCCAAAGAATGTGGAAATAGAACCTTCAAACGTGCTCGAACTTTCTCTTTCAACTGTTCTTTGCTTTCCCTACTCTCGTGCTCATCATCACTAGTTTCTTCCTCATATTCCTCATCGAATTCTTCTGAAAAATCGGAGTCCTCTGCTTCTTCAATGAACTGTCCTGACTCAAACTCCAACGGAACCAGCTGCAAAAGTAAGATAAGCGACCTGAATATCCTCAGCTCCTTCAGGTGAAATGAAATAATCCTATGACTTAAAAAAATTACAAACCTCATTTTTTGCAGCAGTAGCGGCTTGCACAACTTGTTCTACAACACACGATGGTACTTCTTCTTGTTCTTCCTCATGAATATTTTCCCAGTTATCAATAACTTCATCCGCTGTATCCCACAAACTAAGTATTTCTTCATCTTGTGGCTTCAATACCTCAAGATATTCTTGAGCTTCTATTTCTGCAGCTGGTAAAGAGTGAACACTTTCTGGGGTGGCTTCTAGAACAGAATGATGCAAAATTAAGTCAGCAAGATCGGAAACAAAACTAAAATAAGAACACTTTAATCAAAACACGAACTTGTAATTAGTAGATCGCTGCAAAAAAAAACCTTTGTTGTCATGTTTCAATTCTTTTTTCGGTTTTTTATTTTTCCCATATACAGGACGTCTCACTGATGCGTCTTCATTTTCTCGCCTCAGTACGTTTGGAAGTATGATATCTAAAAAATATATGAACGATGGGATGGATAATAATCGGTTACCCACATAAATACATCATTTGACATGACCAATCAGAAAGCCATACTTGAATTAGCTAATAATGCTTGCTGCCTTCTCAGCTTTTCCTTCTGTGCTGGTGTCAGATACTTCCCTTCCGCTTTCAACTTTTCATCACGTTCTTTTTTCTTTTGCTTCTCACGTTCCCTCTTCTCTTTGGCCAGTCGTTCCTGCACAAAAACACCTATGTTAGAATTTGAAGACTCCCCAACTAAAAACGGAAGCAATTAGTTAGCGAAAAAAAGAGGCTCACTTCTTCTTCCTTCGCTTTTTGTTGTGCAATCAACCTCTCCTCCTCTTCCTTTTGCTCCTTCAGTATCCTTTCTTCTTCCTCTTGTTTTCTACGTAATATTTCTTTGATAAAATCGACCTAGAAACATGTCATTTTATTTGGAATGGAAAGCCAAGCTAATTTATGACTAGGACAACATCATATAATTTATCTGAGGTTATAGAGATCACTCAATAACAAATCAAACACTTATACTATAGTAGAAAGTAATTAAATCAAACATTGTACAATTATCGTAGAAAAATTATAATTATAATTATAAATAATTATAAATAAAAATAATTATAGCCAAACGCACGTGTCTTTTTTTCTTTGTTTCCTTCTTGTCTCCATCCTTTTTTGCATCACCTTTCTTTTTCTTCTTTTTTTCTGTTACATCACTTGCCTCAAAGAAATCTACTCAGAAAAACTTCGAGTCACTAGATTTTTAAAAAAACATTTACTATAATTTGCCAAGAAGTGGAAGACCTTCCAAATTAATAACCATTCTTCAACTTGACTAATGTAGCCCCTTACTTTTTGATTTTCCACTGAAATAGCATCTCCCTCAACGGCTGATTCGAGCTCTAATGGTTTTTCTTTTTCTGCTGCATTTTTTTTCTTTTTCTTTTTATCTTTTTTTTTAGCCATAACATCTCCGCCATCAGCTGCCTGAGGAGCTATTTCTCCAACCTTGTCAGCATCAACTGAAATAATCTTTTATAATGTGCATGATTCAAAAGTCAATAGGATGTGAAATACTGAAGCTATGGCAATCTGGAAAGTCAATTTCACATAATATTCTGTCAACTTGAAATGAATAAATAATTTGCCTGTAACATTTTCAATAGTTGAAGATAATTTCAAAGCTTCACTGGCTTGTACTTCTGCTATACAAGACACGCCGGAAGCTGCTCCTTTTTTCTTTTCTTTCGATACTTTTTCTCTTGGTTTCTCGAGATCCGCAAGCAAAGCCTCCAAATCCTCATCTTCTTTTAAACCCTAAAATGTAAAACTTATGTGTGGTAGAATATCAAGAAGTACCTTAACAAATTAAACATATATTCAATTCGACAAGAACCACCTTTTTGCCCTTTTTTCTTTTTCCTTTTCCCTCTTCCTTTAACTTAGTTGTTGTTTGTTGCTTAGAGAACCCTTTTGTCTCATTAGGTTTATTCTTTTCATTCATATTCCTCTTTTCCTGCTTGCTTTCTTCAACCTCGTCCGCCTTGTAAGAATCTTCACTAGTACTTCCCTCCTTCTCGGTATTATCGCTACGCTGAAATATGAATCAATTGCTAAATATGAGCTAAACAACACCCAGAAAAAATTCTAGTCAAAATATCCGTAGTCCAGACCTTAGGTGAGCTACAGTTGCTTCCATGGACTGATCTGCAAATAGCAAAGAGAAAAGACAATATGGGAGAGGTGCAAGAAGTGAACGAATCTCACGAATCTCTGAGCGGTACTGAACAAAAATATTTGGTCTAATAAATGACAAAAATAAATGTACTTCAGCAAGCATATTGAATGCTCCGCTTTTCCCTCTCCCATAAGCGGGTATCATTGTTTCTTCTTCACTCCCACTGTCGTCATCGGTCTCAGAATCGGACGATAGTTTCAATTCTGCTTTGGCATCCAGATCTTCTGACCTGTTTACCATCAGGCTTTTAATACAAAATGACGAAATAAAATAACGACACTTAATTAGCAAACTTTCCACAACAATATTAGTGACAACGTTATTGTAGTAAGGTAATTAAGTTCACTCCCACAAAGAGAAAGCATGACAACATAACTTTTCAAGCACAAAAACAGAAGCTTTTTTAATTTTAGCCTACTAGTGTAACATTTTGGTGAGACTATATAAATGATAATACTTTCACGATCTTACCATTCATTCTTCTTATTGCTCTTTTTCTTCTTCTTTGTTGCCATTTTCAAGCGAAATCATTTGTTTTGCAAACTGAACTCTACCAATCAACTGATATATAATTGGACTGATAAGTAGCTGAAACTCACTCCGCTCTTATTAGGAATTCTCGGAAGCCATGCAACAAACGACATTAACGAACAGGCCGACAGCTCCCACCTGTCACCGCTTCAGCTCATAAAAATGACAATGATGCAGTTTGTCCCGATGATTGGTGTCACTATGAGATTAACGATCCCAATGTGTTTGAGTTTAAGTTTAGGCTGGACTGTTTTTCGGTAGGTGCTATCCTTCGTCAGATAAGTTCTCTATCATCTATTTCTGATTATGGTAAAAGGAGTAATTGGTCATCATAGCTTGCTGAAACTGAAATGCATACAGAATTTGAAGACACATTGTCACTCATCAGAAATAATGGTTTCAGTTAACATTGAAAAGGACTTATTTTATTTTAGTTTTCCCCAGTATGAACTTTGACTTCAGCATAAGGAGAAGCCCTGAGGACTTCTTGCAATTCTTTGATGGGTTACAACTGTCATTTTCTCGACGACAAATGCAAATGATGTAAGTCCTCAATTGTTGTGGTTCTTCGTCCAGTAAATACTTCGAATATGCAAGTAAGTTATTACTTACCTAACAAGTCCAGAAATGCTAAAATATGGCGATTTGTGTCAGCGAGGGTAACTGCTTCTAAAGTGGAAGTGAAATATGGAGATTTTTATTCATTATCTTAAATGGTTGCGCAACCAAGTTTGTTTAGTTTTACCTTCTCTTCTTTGGGTCTGATCTTAACTATGTTAACGGATGAAAGTGTTGGTTGCAAAGGAATTTCTGTATTGCTTTCTTGCTTGAGAAGATTTTGAATTAAACCTGCAGCTAAATTTTATTCTTGTAAAGTGGAAATCTTGAGAATGAGTGAAAAAAATTTTGTGGAATTTTCTCCATCAAAATGTTGCAATAAAATAAGACAGGTCATTTAAAGATCACTAGTGATCGAAGTAATAGTCTGCTCGGAGATTTTGGATCGTTTTTTGATTAAACTCTCAAAATAGACTGCCTAGCTAAGATTAACGAACTTTAAGGCTCTGTCAAAGCGCATGCAATATCATGATACATTGGATTTGAAACCTTGAAATTCACAAAGCATTCTGATAAAACTTTCTGTATGAGTTGACTTGTCGAAAAAGATTTGAAAAACCTCAATCAACGAAACGGCCAGTTCTTTACCTCCCCAAAATGGCATATATTAATGTTACTTATATATTTACCTTGCTTATTTGTTCAATATGGCACATCTCTTGATGGGAAGTAAGAATTTGCTAAATACAATGCAGACCCAGTGAAATCTGGAAAAATGGTGTATTCCTAATTCACATTTTCCAAACTTTAGTGCTAATTTAGACATAAATGTTGTCGATTTTTTGTAAACAGTTAACTAAGTCCTACCGGAAGAATCTGTTAGTATAAGGAAATTTTTTAGTTTCCAGTTTTTCCAGAAGAAAAATAGACTTCTCAATTCTGAAAGCTTCAATTTCTTATTATCGCTTATAGATGGTCGCTCTCCTGGCTGTTTTCCATGATTTAGCGATTTGTTTATTTCGCTAGTCAAGAAATTTGAAATATCATGGTAATATCGCACTCAATCAAAAAAGACACTCCAAAGAAAATTTGTCCCTAGTTCCTTTGAAACATGTTGCGTTTGCGATTCTAAATGACAGTGACTTTCTGATTCATAAATCTTTTTGACAGTATGAGCAAACTTTTTTGTATCTTATGTGCTGATGCAGCAATATTCATATTGTTTCTGTTCTATTTAGGCAAAGCCCAATATTTTGAGCCTAATATTTTATCATAGGCACTTGAAAAAATTGGATTTCTAGAAAGCTAAATGTTAAGAATTCATTTTGTTCTAAAAACTGCTCGCCTCTTCTTACTTTTGTTGTCATGTTTCTTAAAGAACTTTGGGATTTTGTAACTATAAGTGAATGCTCAGTCACCATTTAAGTTGATCTGTTTGGAACATACAGATCAAGGGAAACTTATTCAGAGATCAACAGAAAATATGCGAGAATAGTGACTTGTTCAGATATTTTTCTGTGTAACTTGGATAGATCAAAAGCAGATGATTTTGTGGAAGAATCAAATAACGCGATTTATCAGGTAAAAAAAATGATCCAAATGGAGTTTTTCAGTTTTTTTTAACATTCTAATTCATTTATCCCAATTTCTATAAGCTTTTAATTTTAGGTAATATCACCGGGGTAATACCACTGCATAGTACCTTTCGAAGAAATTTTTTATAAAATGTTTTATAGAGATATGTTTCCATACAATATAGCCCTGATAACAGAGGGAACGATTTGAATTACTTATATTGCAATCTTTGTTCTTTTTTATTTTCCTCCGCTTATGTCTTTTGGAAATCCGGAATTGAAATAAATCAAATGGAACGTGAACCATTTCAAATATTTTGTAAAAATATGGATAAGGAAAAGCTAACGGAAATATTTGAATTGAAGTAAAATATCGCTTTAAAATGCTTTGAAATGAAGAATGACAAACAATGTTTTAACAAATTCAACAGAATTTATTATCAGTTTATTAGAAGGATTAAAAGAAAAAATATATTCATGCTATGACCTGTTTTTATTTCCATATTAACTTCTATTGTTCAATTCTAAATCCAAATGATTTTCAAAGGATTCAAAGGTAGAAATGACAACGGAAGTTCGTCTTTTCTTCTTTCTCTGCAAAATGTATCAATTTTCTGCAACTTCATGACTGCACCATTTTCAAATTTCTAAAAGCTTTACATAATTAGTAGATATAAATAACAAAGATAAAGCGTTATGTGGAAGTAGTTTGTACTCAACTAAGGTCGGATTTTATCAATAAAATTCATTCAGAATTAAAAGTGTAAGAGGTAGATGAGGAGAAAAGCGTCAAATTTCGAGTGATGATTTTTTTTAGTGCGGATGTGCTGTATGCCACAAGCACTGTAGAAGATGATAAGTGTTGAAAACTGCTACAAATGAACAAAAGAGAAATTCGTTTCCATTTTCGGTCCATCTGTTTAGATTAAGTCCGCTGAAGATAAGCAAAATTCATTTATTATCCCTTTCATTGGTCCGACCTCAATTTGAATGGAATTGACAACTAGTGAAATCCTACGCAAATAAGGGAACTAAGCAGAACGTCAGATAGGCATGTCTTTATTTCCTGCAAATTTTGAATGCTAATTTCGATTTTACACTTTAAAATGCTTTAAAGTAAGCAAAAAAAAAGTGAAGAACTAATAAAATGTTCAAATTAGAGGAAAAAAATTACAAATACCCGAACTTTGCGAAGGAAAACATGACACCGCATCACGCATGCCAAAAACAATCACTCTTTTATCTAAAACAGAAAAACTTTTGATTTTCTTCAATCAATCATTTGCATTGATTTTAACGAAAGAATAAATAAAGGAATATATATTCATCATCACTCTAATGCTTACTTTTCCTGACTGATTACCATCCCCATATTTTTGCAGATAAAGGCATGACAATCCTTTCCTATTAGCCATTCACATGAACTGTGTGATGTACATCTCAGATATTAACAAGTTTTTTAACTTATGATTATCAATAAAAGAGTAATTCATACAGCTCAGTGCAAATAATTCAATTTCAAAATATAATTATATCGACAGCTTAATTCAGTCTTCATTTTAACCAATGATTAACAATGATCACATAAGCCGTAGCTAATAAAAATTTAATATTAGATAAAGGATGAAAAATATTAAAGAAATCGTTGGTGAAATATTCGGGAAATTGTGGATGAAAACCATGAAGAAGTTCGGTAACTTCCGCAATGACACCTGAGACTTTGCTCACCTTCTTAATATTAGAGGTTGAGACCGAGTTTCAGGTGGGATTGTGAAGACCTTTACAGCCAACTGAACCTACAAAAAGATAATACATTTCGACAGGTACATGATTTCAATTATTTGACCTGACTTATTTCTTACGTGTATGAATTATAAAAATAAATACATTCAATTATTTGGCCTGACTTATTTCCTACACGAAGGCTATTATTGTTCAAAAAAAAATTTCAATTTGGTTTGAGTAATCGAGTAAACCATTGAATGTTTGTATGACTCTTCTAATGTGTTATAGAAGCAGTGAAATAGTGAAAGTTCTCAAGGATATGTTTCAGTGTTGAAATTGTGTAGGAATGATATCTGCAGAGGAAATGATGATAACCTATGATGGAACAATGCAGAAAACTTTCTATAAATTCATGGATATGATATTTTATTTAAAAATTTCAATCCATGAGAAGGATTTTGAAGGGCAGAAAGACCAAATTACACTAGCTAAAGCATTTGTATACATTATGATAGATAGAATAATTAAATAATTGTACTGGAATTATATTAAACTAATACATATAATTAGCTAGTCATTTTGACTTTCCCCATTTGAAAATTTATTATAACTAAGAATTCTTAAAAGTTTATTTTAGATAAAACTAATTATTACATTTAATTTTTAACAAAGAGTTGAGTGCACAAATACATTCGAATAAATGAGAATAGCTTTGAGACTAATGATTGCTTTCTGTGTCATCAATGTAAGGTTTAGAAAAAATTTCATAAACAAAGATGAACTCCAGGGATAATCTCATTTGTATTTTAAATTAAATACAAATTGTAAATTCCTTTTTTTTCAATTAACATTCCTCATTCTATGCTTATGTGGAATGGCTCAAAAATGACAACCTAAAATACCGGTCAGGAACAGTGGAAGAAATAGAATGTGTGTGATGAGAGAAGGAGGAAGGAAAAAGGAAGGATTCGAGCAATGTTCCGAAATGTACCCATCGAGGAAAAACATGGTGAATGATTGTGAGAACGACAAGACATTGAGATGGTATGATATGGTATGGTATGGCATGATATGATATGGTATGGTATATAGCATAGCATGGTGCAGATGACTTTGATAATATTGTTGAAGTGATAACTGAACATGCAGGAGAATGGAAAAAGAGAGAGAGAAAGGAAAAGGAAAGAATGAATGCATGAGGTTGCATATGAACTTCTCAGTCTTAACTGCGAAAAACAAAGATGAAAATCTAAATCTTTAAATTTTGTATCTTTTTGTCATCTCTCTCTTTCTCTCTCTCCCTCTCCCTTACCATTTTCCTTTGTTTCCATTTCAAACATTACAGCAATATAGAATGGTGGCATTGCTATAATGAATAAACTAAAATGCGTCTGAAGAACAAAAAAAAAGACATCTACCAAAAACTGTTAATTGGAAAAAGGAACAGACAAACACAGAGAGAGTGAGAGAGAGAGAGAGGAAGAAAGAGAGAGAAGAATGCTATGTATGCAAAAATTGATTTTGTTTACAGGAAGATGTGATGAACTACTGAAGGGTTTTAGTATGTGGGAAGGTAGAAGCAGTAGCTTACCACATTTTGACGTTACCGTTTCAGTTTCATTTCGGAGAATGGAAGGGTAAGAAGAGAAAGTTTTCATAAAGTTCAAATCCAGCTCTCTTATATGAACTTATAATAATCATTCATAACTTGAATATAATTCATATGTTGTTATCTCCGTCCCAGTCACTTTAAGATTCACTTCAGATGCTTTTATATAACTGCTGTGTTATTGATCGTACTTCCTTACCGGTCAACAGTTCCAACAAATCAACAACTCAATTCAGTCTTCGTATTTGCGTAAACAAAACGTGAAGTAATACTATCGCAACGTTTCTCATGCAAGCGTGAATGTTGCATAATATGTAAGTCTATGTTTATGTTGAGTGAAAGGAAATGACATAGATTATTTCACCTATCATTCATCCTTTTCATTCATTTATTCTTAAAATGTTTTAAAAAGGAAAATCTTTTATCAACACTAAACATTCCCATCGAATTTGTTTGACTTTCATGATCAATTCCAGATAGAAAAAAGCACCCTAAAATGTCCTATGTGCTACACTCATTGATACACAACCACTGCACTCACACCATTGTCGGTTACCATCGACCTAAACTGTTGCCAATGCAAGTCTGATTAAAAGGCTTCATTTAATTTCTATTCAATCTCTAACTTCTATCCTGCTACGAGTCTCAGAAATACCACCATTGTCATTCAGCCTCCGACTTTTTTATTTTTAATTGTTCCATTATTTGAGGATTCTGAAAAGCTTTCCGTCTATGTTTCCCAGGTTTTCCAATTTGTCCAATCCTTTAGTCCAAATAAGTACTATGATTCTCACAAATTCATGCATACATATACATATATATATTGTTAGTTCCACTTTTCACACATCTAAATTAATTATTGATGTATAATTTAATGTCACCCCATTAATTTAATATATTGATAAAACGTCGACAATGACTCCAGATAACGAACGGCGTTTTCTGCCTACTGATGACATGAATTGAGAACAGAGAATGCGCAGCAGAAGTGATCACAAGATCATCGCTCGACAGAGCGGGACTGATTAAAATGGTAGTAAAAGTGGCGCCAAGAGGACCGAACAAAAGAACCGATCGTGGAGAGGAAGACACTCACCTTGTATTTATGAACGGATGATTCTTTTCAGTGCCTAAAATACACTTTTCAGTGAAAGCGATAAATTATTTCAACAGTGCGAAGACATTTCGTCACCTGAAAACAGACAAATAATAGGTACCCAATGACCCGAAAGGTGACGCCCTTTCTTTTTCCGTTCTACTCACCACATTGACCCTTAACGTTGACAGTCTTGTGTGATTTTCTGGATGTCATTATAGCATTCATAATAAGTTATAAACATTTCACCTTTTATTCATTATTGATAATAAGTACACAGACCTAACAGAAGGACTTTCTTCTCACCGTATCAGTAATAACCATGCTAATTCAGACTAACAATAGTTATACTGGTGAATTCATGAACATCACCCTATATACTACTAACTTGTGTACGAATGTATCCCCACGATTATCCGATCGTAAACATAACGAACATAGATTCTAATCAAGGTTCATCTTCTTTCCTTGTGTCTCTTCTGCAATAACATAATCGAAGAAATCATTAGGGAACTTCAAAATTTAAATTAACATCAAGTTGATGAATACTTGAAACACTTTCTCCTTTCAATTCGATGAATAATGAAATTAATGTAAAATACTACGATAACGAGATTCAAAACTCGAAAGTAAAAATAATATTTTCAGAAAAATAATTTTTATAAGCAAAAACGAATGAATTTTAAGGATTCATAAGATAGATTATGGAAACAAATTAGAGAAATTGCATTTGTTTGTGAAAACTGTCCTGTGAAATAACAATATGTTTGCTTACATGTCATATCAACACTTTCCTCTCTTCTCTCTTTCTCTCTCCCTCTCTCGGAATAACAAATGTTCAATCTCGATATGATCTCGAAACTAAAAATCTGACAAGCTACAACTAAACTTGTTATAGCTTGTCAGACTTTTAGTTTCGTAAGCTTGCTAAAAATCCATGTCAAAGTGACATTACTTCAAATAAGCAATGATCATCATCACTGCTTTTTTTGAAATAATGTCACTCTAACAATCAATTTTCAAATTGTGACTAAATCTGAACAAGTGAATTCAGAAATATCGCATATTGCAAATCCTATCCATTTCATTCACTACAAACCTTTATCCTTTATATAATTATTTATATAATTATACTGCTAAAAAGAAACATAACAAAAAAACAGTTGAAAAACATTATTGCGATTAATGGGATTTTATAACCTCACAAACTCTAAAAGCAACATAATGAATAAACAATAGAATAACCATTTCTGCAATGACGCAATATGGCAAATGAATATGTTCATATTATGAATGTATGCGATGAGTAGCGTGAAAGAACAATCGGCGGGAGCAAATCCACCATCGATGGTGAGACTCGATGAAGTAAGTGATGATGAATAAGCAAATAGGATGGAGGATGATTGTTGAATACGGTGATGATGACAATTGGCAACGACGGTAATGGTGACAATGATGACAATAGATGATGATAGTTCACTGCGCCATCACGGTTATAACCTTCACATACACTTCCCATTCTCTTCCGTCATTCTCCACGAATTCATCATATTTATATATACAAATATAAATTGATATGCTAATTTTGAGATGTTGAAAGGATAGTAGAATAAGAAATTAGAGTTGAAATGAAGTTTGTTAGAAGAATTAAGACTATTCGAATCATGATCATTGTCTATAGAAACAAAATGAAAAAAATAGGGAAGAGATATGATAAGATGATATGACACTTGGTGATATGTACTAGCTTGTCTCCTATAAATGTTTTTTTCTCTCTCTCTCTATCAAGAAAACAAAAAAATATGAATATTCGATGTAAAAATAATATTTCAATGGATGAATTTATGATAATAATATGAGACTATACTCTTAATTTATATAATTAATTAATTAATTAATGACTTTTTTTAACAAGAGATTTAATATATAAATTTTGAGATTAGAAAAAGTCGATTAAATTCAATCCTAAGATTATTCAAAGGCTTTTTTAACAATGAAAAATGCAAAACGAAAATGACTCAAATTTCTCTATGGACATCTGTGTGTGTGTGTGTATATATAGGTATGTGTATATAAGTGTATGTGGTTGTATGTATTTGTGCATTTGTGACCGAAAGTATATTTATGACCGAATATAGAAGGTAGGGAAAGTAATTAATCAAAAATTTGGAAAGTTCAAGGTCGAAGTATACAATATGAGATGGATGATTGGACAGAAAAAAGACGTGTCGCGTTGTCATTATGAAGAGTATTGAGAGAGAGGGGAGAGAGAGAGAGGAGAGAATAAGGAAAGAAATTAATGGATATAAGTTGAATTTATTGAAAGAGGTGAAAAGGAAGGACTGATGGATGTCATTGCCTCCATTTTACCCATTTTTCAACGGCATATATTCATTCATTCACCAAAGGAAAATAGAATAGGCGATTCAAAATGGGAAGGTAGAAAAAATGAAAGATAACTTGGCCATAACTCTTAATACAGCCACAACTGGTTTACACCTCTTCTGAGCTCAATCAAAATTCATCATCAACAAGTTGATAAGATGCTAAATCAAAATTGCCTAATAGAAAGTTCTCATATAAACAAACTGATATCAAAATCAATCTGTTCCTATATTTCTCCTCTTTTTCTTAATTATTACAAAATTTTAGGTGGGAAATATTAAACAGAATGAACCAATTAAAAGTAGCTAATAGTAGCAGGAAGAAATTTTTCAGATCGGTTATTTAGATATGAACTATATAATGCGTATTTTAAATAATCAAGAAAAAGAATAATAGGCAAATTTATTTAAATTTTTATGTTTTAATCGAAACTAAAAAAAAATTGATGGAACTGCAAATTAACGAATTCCCTCTTGAAAACGCGTAAATCCTTTAACAGAAAAAGAGGATGCAGAGCAAACTTCCAATTTGTGCGCTAAAATGTTCGATAAAAACGAGTCATGAAGGGCCAATTGGTCAGTGGAATAATAATGGCTCTGAAGAGATTGTAGAAAGCTAGTCGATGACCAGTGCTGCTAGCAAAGTGACCAATCACAAATCCTGTTCTATTCAAATGGTATCTCCATTGTCCTCTAATAACTCAAAGCAATATCTGAATGTTTCAAATAAAGTTAAGAATGGTTGAGATGGATGAGGAAATTAGGAAAATTGCAATAAATGAATGAATGATCTTTGGACTGTGGATAAGCATGCATGAAACTTACTGCAGTCCATTAGCTTTCTTTAACGAGCAAAAATGTTCGTTATGCACATATATCCTGCATCCATCCTTGATGGCGTCTAATCTTCATCTTATGCATGCTTGGATGGAGCCTTTTAAGCATGGAATTCTCGGAATATCCTATCAAGCTTGAAGAATAGATGAAAGAAAGAACAAATTATGCATCACTAGCATTTAATAAAAACAAAAGGAACAGAGTTGTGAGCGCATCATCGGTTTGATTGAAATCATTAGAGATACCAATAAAATTGTTAAATTTGATCATTAATGATATCGATAGGTAGTAATAACGATATCCAATGGTATATTTTCCATATATGGTAAAAATTACATAATATCTTTCACAGATATCTTTATTGATCGGCTCATTTAACATATATGATGATAAGACGGATACACAGTGAAGTGAAATTATCATTGCGAGAGACGTATGAGAAACATCTCACATAACACCATATCTTCATATATAATAATACAATATTGAGTACGATTATCGTGATTCTAACAACAAAAAGATTTTATCAGCCATTTAATGGCACTAAAATTGTAGTTGACTGATAAATGATTTCTGATTAAATAGTCACGGCGAAGGATACTGGTATCATTTATAGGAATTCGAAAAAAAAAGAATGTGAGATATGATTTCGAAAATGCAAGCTGTTTTAGATGCTTCAAAAAATTTTCGAATATATAAGTAGAAAAAAATGATATGATTTTTTTAGGCCAAGAAAGGTTCCCACGACAATCATTATATATCTTATTTGAATAATCTTCGATGGTTAGGCACTGTCTAAGTAACAATCTCGATGCAATCACCACATTTCATCATCTGCTATTTAAGATACGGCGCTAAAGCATTGATTAATTCCATTTCGTTTTTTCTTACACAGTTTGAATATGGTGAAGGATAAGGTGCATACTGCTATAGATGACAAGGACGAATAATGAATGAATTCATCTGAAAGCGCTAAACGTAGAATTAAGGGAGTAAAGGAAGAGAGAAAGCTAATAAACAATCGATGGTAAGAAGAATAAAAGAAGTGGACAAACTTTCTGACTAGAGCTTTGACTCCACCGGCACTTATGATTCCATTTTATGGATCGAAAAGCTTCTCATCAATAGTTGGCCAGCCATTCACTCCATCTTGCTGCATTCCCTTCTTCCCTTCCTTGCCCCTATTCTGCCAGTCTCTCAAATATTTTCATCTCATTTTTCTTTATAAATGAAAAAAAATGTGCCAAGGGGAAAAATTGACATCTTTCGGCCAAAATTTTCAAAATATTTTTTCTTTCTTCGATGACATACATTCAAATCAAAGGGTAAGCTTATTAAGGAGGTTTAAAATGAAGACAAGGATAGGATGGATATAGGTAATGATCAATTACCTAGAGGTTTATTTCCACCTATCAGTAAGTCTTCATCTTAATCGAAGATTATTTGTTGAACGAACGGTGCGAATAGGATTGATTAAAAGAATCTAATCAATTGATCAATTATCAAACTTCGGTTTTTTATGATTATTGTGGCATTAAATTAATTTCCATTTAATTAAAGCTAAATTTTCTCCCAAACAAAACCAAATCCACAAGAGATAAACATTCGGAGGGCAAAAACAAAAAATTTTCGAAAGAATTTTAAAATAAAATGTCAGAAAAAAAGAAATAAAGTGTTGCTGATAATATGAGAAAGTATAAATAGAGGGCGCAAAAATCAGAATTTCATAACATCTCTTGTAACATTAATTAATACCTGAAATATCTCCGCGATTCTCAGTTGAAATTTCGTCTGAGGACCTTAGTGGATAAAAGAAGCAATACCAAGAGAAAATCGAATTAAAGGGGAACGGCCCAAAGAAAATCGCCGGTCACACTAACTAGTCCTAAAATCACATTAACTGTTTCTACCATAATTCAATTTAAGAATGTATTATCGATATCATGGGTGATGAACAACATCATGATAAAGTGAACGAATATAGGCTAATTTATAAAATATTTCATATTGATATTGTATATTTTTCATAAACACAGGATAACGTCTCCCTCCTAAGTGTTACTGATATAGGAAGACTGAAAAGGTTAACTTGAACTAAGTTTCAGAAATTAGCCATGACAAGATACTAAGGCACCGAGAAACGAATATGAAAACTCCAGTATTGCATTGTGATATTTGCTGGTAATTGTTGATAACTTGGACTAATGAGGTGGCACCTTTTCAACTGCCAATTAGTCAATTTCATATTTTTAAATTGTGTTGAGATGAAAACAGAAATCAAAAAGGAAATTGGAAGAGGATTGCGAAATAATTTGGAGAAAATATAATAATTTAAGGATTTATGAAATAAATTTGAGAAAAAGATAGGGAAAAATAAAGAAGTTTGAAACGAAAAGCGCTTAATAAAAGATGCAAATTTCACCAATATCAATCTATAAATGAAAAGAATTCACATAGTTATTATGATCTAACGGTACAAACGGTACATTAAATAAGATGATTAATGAGGACTGAAAAATTCAATTGTGAATAGTAAATAAAAATAAATATTAAATAAGAGACAGGCGAAAAATATTGCAATCGGTTGCAAGAAAGAATAATGAATCATATAACTGTATATTAGTTAGTGTCGTATTTAGAAGAATGATTCACATATAACATACTACGATATTTCTTCTTTATGGAAGAGAATAAACGTCGATACTTCCTATTTTTAAATGAGACTAAAACGAAGGACAGAACAGGAATATATCGAAGAATGAATTTGCCTATAAAAATGATTTAGAGTTTCAATCTACTCATTTTACTAATTTTTCAATTCATCTTGGAGCACAAAGATATCTTCTGATTCTGTTCATCTAGACATCAATTAATACTCGGCAGTTGTCGATTTTTCTATAGTTTGACTACAAATTGATTGCTCATCTCTTCGATTGCTTTAAATTCATTCATTAATTAAAAGTTTAATGATTTTCGTATTCACTATCTGTTTTGCACTTGTGAGTTGATAAGCGAATTAGAAATCAACAAACAAAAAATTTCATTAATTGCAGTTCATTAAATTTAAAAAAAGAAAAAAAAGCTTTAATCCTGCAAAGGAACTGTAAATTTCAATTTCCTGTTTGTTCCTTAAATAAAGCAGTTCATTAGCGAACCACTAGCCATACTTTCATATCACTGTAGAATTCAGAAGGTCTTGGAGATTACGCTGCTTCCATTCGAAGCATTATGGATTCACTTTCGATGGCGAATAATTTTCCGAACAGCTGATTTCAATAGTCAATGAATATTTTGATTTCATACGATTTTATTAATTTTCTAGGGAAACTCTTCAAAGATTGGGTATTTTTTCTATTTAAGATTAATTCATCAACATTTAATAAATAAATCCGAAAGTTTGAATGGTTGAAAGCAAAAATTTGGAAAACATTAGCCAACAGCATTATGATCTACAATGATGTTGCCAAAGATTAAATTACCATCGATGCTACCAGTGTCAGTCGTATCATGAAAGTTCAAACTTTTTCGGCCCGCAATTTTTTTAATGATTTAGGAGGTTGAAAATATTCAACAAATAAACTTCGATAACGTGAAAACATAAGGAGTATAGCTCACAGCAAAAAAGTTAATGTTCTTTCGTTTTCGAGATTTCTACAATACTGCACAAAAATACTTGCTGATCATTACCAAAAATGAATATGCACCAATTTTTCAATTTATGCAAAACATAGTAAAATGCTAAACTGAGTAGATTTTGACCACCTATACTTTTAAGATGTACAAAAATCTGGCCAGTCAGATATTAAAAGTAGGCACTATTACACATCAATTTCCTAGACCAATCTTATAATATCAGCTAGTTATAAAGTATTAAATACGCCCTAATCAACTAAAAAAGAAAAGAATATAGAATTTGTTCATTATCATTTCTATTTTTCAGACCTAATCTTTAAAAATGGAACTCTGTAGATTTCCCAATCTTCCATTCGTAAACGATGGAAAACTTTTCACTGATTCTGAGCAGTACTCAACACTTGTTTGATCAAAACAACTCCTCGATGCCTCGGTATCACAATCAATAATGGAGTTAATCAAAACTACTAATGTGGGGTGAATATAAAACTGCAGTCCGCCACGGTGACATTCTTCCTTTATCTTTAGCTAGTATTAGCAACTTTTTTTTTGTGCATTTAGTACATTTAAAGTCCAATTAATGGACCATCCAAGCAGTTTAGTGAGATAAACGACTAAACTACTGACATCATTAAGTCTTCCATAGTAGAATAATGCTCTAATGTCCAGTATTTAATTGATGACAACGAAATCAAATTTGAAGATAATTCTGATAGTTTAATATTACACGTAAATTTTGCACATCATATCATAAGTGATTTCACTCAACACAGAATGATTCAAAGCTAAGAAAACTCGGTACAATGTTCTACAAAAGTTAATACCTCGTCGTCAGATAGGAATTCTAATGGATCCACAGAAAACTTCCAACAATCATCAATGAATTAATATGGTATCTCATTCTGGATGTATTGCAATTGATCGTACATTTTGCTTCGTACGTTCAAGAAACAATTACGTATTATACTCATCATATATTTTGCTGCATCACGATCGGACAACTGTGGTGCAAAACGATCTCGGAATTGCTGTATTGTTTTTCCACGGAAACACGGAAGATGTGTATCCAACATCAGTGAAACTAAAGCAATGAAGGCCTGCAATTTTAATATGACAAATATACAAATTTCAATGATGTGAAACAAAATTTTCGATTATTAAGAATGATAAGGCTACGCACTTTATAATACGGTCGGACAGCCAGATATGCCTGGACACAAAGTGAAGCAAATAATCGAAAACTTGGTGCTTCCATTTTGCCACCCATAATTGCTACCATTTCTTGAGAAAGTTTAAAATCTGGTTCAAACCCAAGATTTCCTCCCGGACTGCTCTCAAACATAAAGCCAAAATCTAAAAAACTATTTCACAAAAAAATCAAATAAGAATAAAAAATACATAAATTTCTTTAAGACAAAAAAATATTCAAAAATAAAATGCTGAGAAACAGCCAACCAATATGGACAATATGGCCATCACTGTCGATCATAATATTTCCGTTATGTCGATCTTTGATCTGCAGCAAGAAACTAAATACGCTATATGCTGCCATGCTTCGAATGAAATTTCGTCTTGCAAGTTGCAATGTTTCAGTGTTTTCATCACCATATGTTGTCAGAAAGTATTCATACAGTCCTGCAACTCACTTTGCAACTTCTTCAGCATACGCCGGCAATTTAAAAAAAAAAAATGAAACTAACCAAAATCAGTCTGCCGTCCTAACTGATCCCTTGATTTCGAATTTGGAACACATTCAATTACCCCACAGCCAGGCGCAGTGGCTACAACTCTGTACGGAAATAGGCGAATGTCTAAGTCCACAGAATTAAAAATGTTACGCATCAGGCTCATCAATTGTAGCGCCAACATATCCTGACGCACATCGTCGCCAACCTGAGGTAAAACATGCATAAAGACCATTTACAATCCTAATCAAATGAGTGTCTCAGTAGATAAAATAGTGAATTTTATGTTTTTATCACAGTTCAGCAAAAATAAAAACAAATCAAGAAATATATCAAGAAAACAAAAAATTCCAACTTTAAAGATAGCTGATTGCCAGCAGACAGGACTATCTTCTGATCCTGGAAGAAATCGAGTATCTGTTTCCGAGGTGTGTTTTCGTTGATGTGCAGCGATTCCTAATCGTTCTAATTTTTGAATACCACAATGGAGAATCTTGAATCGCACCAGAAAAGGCGCTTTTGCGGCACTAAAAATGATTATAAAAGTTTCACGAAATTCCTGAAAACATTTCATTCATAAATGACGTGCAGTCATACCTCTGCATTGGAGTTCCACTTTTGTAATCTATATCGAGAATCACTGCTTCTGGATTAGAAGGAAGATAAGCTACCGTCTTTAGATGTATCTCAGCAAGCGAAGCTAGACAGGCCTTTTTCCTAGCTTCGCCCTTTGGAAATAGTCTTATTTTCCCTGATATGTCAGTGATGAGCTTGAATAAATTGAACTCGCTATCGTAAAATTTTCGTGCAGCTCCTTCCATATTTGATATTATCTAAATGAAGAAATTTTAAAGCAAGTAACTAAAACATAAGGAAAAAAAACAGAAGTTTAAGGAACTATACCTTGCTCATCAATTCTCTTAAGGGTCCATGTAAATCGGGATCCTTTTCTTTTGAATCTTCATCCCTGTACATATTTGCTTGCATGTTCCATAGTAATTGATGAGCCAAAAGTTGCGAACGACCAGCCAACCACAAAATTAGCTCAGCAACATAACCCATCTAGAATTGAAATGATACGTGGGAATCTGATCATTTTTAAACAGCCCTCAGAATTTTCTTGACAGAATATACCGTATCATGTCGCAAGGCTTGAACAAGTTGTGGAATATACAGCAGAAGTACATCTGGTGGATATGATCTCAATACGCGCACAGCATACTGCACTGTAATGGGATGCGTCGGATACTGCCGTGCACCGAGCAACGATAAAGCCATCACTGGGTCACATACCGCCCATGTTAAAATGTGACTTAATGTTTTCAAGTCCTGTAAAATATTAACATTTTGAAATCAAAAATCACGGAAAAAATTATTTCTACTCATTTCTATTCCTTATAATGAGTAGAAACTTGGTAATAAACGATTAAATAAGATTTTGACTAGACTCTGCATAAGGTCTGAAAGATTTACTATAATTTTATTTGTGAAATGTCTAATGAAAATGAGAGAAATCTGCAAAAACCGTTATAACTGTACACATAGAAACTACTAACTAATCTTGATTATCTCATTCTTGCTCGCACAATTCTTATCTTTCACTCTAGCTTTATGAGTGAGGGTTTGTTCCACTAGTTACTACTAGAGAATGCATTTTTTCCATCGAAAAACATGTGAATAACCATAGTTTCTTTATCGGTGAACTTGGAACAAGCTAGGACTGAACAATGTGATATTAATATCTAAAATATGAATCTACCTCTATTTTTTCTTCAAGAATCCTTCCTTCTCCCAGCAACAAAGAAAGAGCTTCGGGCAAGTCGGTTACTAATTCCGGCGAGTCCAAAAGTAGTTCTTGGACAGCCGTCTGACAAGCAGAACAAGAACGAAATCTAAAAAGAAGTAAAAAAACATAGAAATGAATGCCTGCTATTGTGTCCTAAAAAGAAATGATTCGAAACACGGTTTTACAACAATTATTTTCTCACATTACTTGCCTTGATGGCATATACACTGCCAGATCGGGGCAAATCTGCCAAGCAATTTTGACATTTTCCCGCAGAAGCTTAGCTTCTGTTCTTGCATCAGGAAATGTTGATTTTCGCCATTGTTCAATGTTTGCATCTTCCAAACCCAGAGTTTCACCCAAGGGGTTTGACCATGCACTTAAACGTTCGATTTCATTTGCCTAGAATGCTAGTTGAAACTGCAACTGAAATTGGAACATACAGACAGTATTCAAAATTTTCTAACTGAAACGCTTACGACAAATATCAAAACCAAATTCCGATAGCGATTGTAGAGTTTTATCTGCTGTTCTGCATGTTTGTTTGGATTGGATCGATTAGGATCTGGAATTTAAGAAAAAAAACTCTTTCAACAAATAATGTAGAAACTCTATCACTACAATGTTATACATCTATGATTACGGAATAAAAGGAAAATCAACATTTGGTATTTTCGGATTCATTAAACAACATATGGGATTTTAAATTGTGCTGAGACGAAACTGACTTTCTAAAAGAAACTGCTCGTACATAGAAATTTACAATTTCGTTTTTTTTTTTAAATTTTGCCACTAACACGTGCTTAATTTCCTTTAACCGGCTCTACAAGAAAAGAGAAGAATTTTACACTTTTCCTAATCACTGACTTTCTATTGAATACACGCAATTACCATCGTTTCACAATTGATACTGCGATTTTTGAATCAAAACTCGAATTTACAGAAAAAAAGCCTAACCGATACTAAGTGTATTCTTCTGCAGTGAACCACCTTTGCCCTGTGCAGCTACAAGCGTTACCCAGTTGGAACTACCGGTTGTCATTGCATGACGGGTTTGAATGTCAGCACGACTAAATGCACTACTATGCTTTCATATTTATAAGTTTGATGATAAGCAGACATAACCAAAAATATTAAATTACTAAAAGGGAAAAAAGCGAAATATAAAAGCACACCAAACTTACTTATACGCAGTGTCGGATTTGTAGTTATCATTTAAAATTTGCTGGAAAGATCCCAAGTTGAGTTCAGTGTCTATAATATTTATCATCATATGTGATTAATAATACAGAAAATCAACTTATGAAGATGCTTACCAATGCTAGCAAATACTTCCTTCTTGATATATTTCACATCCGAAAAAAGAGTATTCCAAAACATGATCAGTAATCGTATATCATTCTTTAACTGCGCTGTATTCTGTGTTGGAGTTTGAGCAGCAACACTACAAAGAAGAAAGAAAACCTGTTATTAAGAAAATTCGGTGCATTCAGCACATAATTTAGATAATTGTAAAACAAAAAAACGTACGAAAAGTAATCCAACATTGTACAATATACACGCTGTCGCAAGATATTTTTGGAAATATGAAATGATATCGAATCACGCTGTATCATGGAAAGTACGCAATTAAGAAAACGAGATCGTAGTCCAATCGCCTCAACATTTCTGGTCATTGTAACTGAAGGATAGAAAAGTTCAAATAGTTTGGAAAAGAATTCAAATTGAGACATGGTACATCTATAATGAAATGGAATACAATCTTTCTGAAACATAGAGATGTAATAAAGAAAAGCGCACATCTGTTCACTCCTTCTGTTTAGATTTTTTCGATCGCAGAGGATTGACATCACGGATTCCTGATTTTCCCTATTCATAAAACTACACATTAGAAATAATATACAAAAAATAACCATGAGCTAGATCGACTTTATGAAGACTCGAATCGGAAGAAATACATGACCAGAAATTAACATCTGCTCTTAGGCGACCCACGTTCAATGGAAGTGTCTGAGCAAACATCAATTCCAAAATATCCAATTGTTCTCTGCTTGAATATTTAGCAATATCCACTCTTTCTACCAAAAACTAAAAGTTCCAAAATTTTCTTTTTCCAAACAGTGTTTCAAAATTCAGGAATATAGTGTCACTAATATATCCAAATACATCTTCAGCTGATTCTTTACTTCATAAATCATCTCTGGCTATTGACTTCCACAATTGAAACTTCCAATTTCTTGCAGATAGCTATTAATTAAATATATCTTTTAGAAAATTAAGCTTACAGAAATCCATATGCTGTGTGGGAGAACATCAGGTCGCTTCGGCGATGTGCAACATTGCAAGCTTAAAGGAGAAATAATCTCGGAATCATGTTGGAAGATACCTAGATGATCTTGTGCCGTATTTGTCCAACATGTCGCCATTTCTCGAAGGAACTGAATGCAATTTTCAATAGATTTTTTTTTACAGCAGTACAGTAAGGTTTTTCATATTTGAAATAACAAAGTTGTCTTACCTGAAGCTGGATTTCTTCTCGAGCAACAAGGATCCAGTTCCATACGATTACACAAACGCGCATTGTTGAAGCAGTGAAATTTTTGAGTGGTATAAAGACAAGAATATGTAACAGACGGCTATCCAACTCTGTAACAGGTCTTTTTTAACTACAATAAAAGCCGTGAGCAAGAGCATAAAAACTAATTTTAACAGTTAACCTAAATATAAAAAACCGTCCGATCCAATATGTGAAACAGAAAACATTTAGTGAGAAGAATAGTTTCTATATGAGCATCTTATTAGTTTTGAGATCAAAAATGTATAATTAATTTATCGATTAATCGACTCTTCTTGTAAATGATATTTAGCATGCAAATTCTCTTATAAGTTAAATGATTACTTTGATTAGACACTCCTTTCATTAAAATTAAAAGAGCTGCTAATTTCAATATAGATTCGGATATTTCTTCATCATATTCATTTGCACAAGCTTTTTCCAGTTGTTGTTCAAATAAATCAGCAAGTTCCTCTTGTGGTTTGGTCTCTTCTTCAGTTTTGGATGTCTCTATCATGCCCTTCACCTAAACTGACAAACAAAAATTTCCTCAAAAAGTGAATTGAAGTCAAAAAAATAGAACCTAGAAATGTAAAATTTCACCTTGCCAAGATATAACGACCTTAAATGTAAGGCAGAAAGACAAAGCGATGAGCTGGTATCATTTGTACCAGATGCATTGTTTAGACTTTTTAGTATAGCTTCCACTGTCAAACGGAAATTGCCAGAACAGCCAGGATTAATACTCGCAATATATTTCTTAAAAGATAATATCATTCATTTTTGATCCTTAAAATAAATTCCCAAATGTCAACAACGTTTCGCAATAAAACGTGTAATTTTCTGAATTATTCCAAGAATACATGATACTTTTTGGACTCAATTATAGATACATAAGATATCCAAATCTATAGTAAACATAATCAAATGAACAGTGGAAAATTACAACAAAATAGCTCCGAGTACTGCCTGGTGCCCATTTGATTGCCTCCTGAAGAATTTGTTCACAGCGCAAAGAGAAGTCATGTACCACTAATCTCCTTCGATCCAGGGTGTCCTTAAGTCACATTTGGGTTTCTCATGAACAACACATAAAAACTTAAAAAACAAGAAGCATGAAGTATTGCAAATTTGTTACAAGAATGCAAATCTAAATTTTGATCTCCTGGAATTAGAAATAATATATGTTATTGGCAAATTACCTGAAGTTGTATAGTTCGATGCAAAGATGGAAAAGACAACGTCATTATTTTGCAATCGGTGTCATTTTCGAGATTGTTTGAAAGTGCTTCCAGTACTTGTAGCGCAACATTAATAACGTTGCCATTCCAAAGCAAATGTGGAAATCTGCCAATTAAATTGGTAAGACAAGTATCTGCGCATTTCCTCACCTGTAATATTCCGAATAGAGTAAGTGTTCATCAAACTGCAATCCCTTCAGCAACAAATTTCTGTCTTCACCTCTTTTAGATGATGGTTGAACATGATAAGCAGAAACTGAGCATGCAATTCAAGCTGACGTTCGTGATCCGAATCTAAATTTCGATCACTGGCGACCTCCAAATATTTACTGAAGATGGTTCTTGCTACCGCAAGAAGGCATGTCCAAATCCCATCTTTGTCTTTTCTTATAGATCTCAAAAAAAAAAAACCAATGTTTAAACAGACCTGTTATAACATTTTATCACACTACTGACTGTCCATGCAAGTATTGATTCTATAAAACGATCAAACTACCACGTACAATTATGCATTAAATTTTTAATTAATTTATTTCAAGAAAACCAATTAAGGTGTTGTCATCCAAAAGACACTATAAAGGTGATGAAATATTAACATAATTACTTGTCTTCAAGATATTGAAATATTGAATGGACTGCTCCTGGTTCTGTAGAATGCAGTGCACGCATGAGCTCCATGCGGAATACCGACAAGAGATAAATACAGTGGGTAAATTCCAATTTATTGACGACCACGATTACTTCGGGAGAAGGGGAAATTTCGGACAAAATAGTTACTCTGATTTCCTGCAATTCTGCCTGAAAACAAAAAAGTTTGTATGTTTTTGAACATTTTAAAATTTTCATATATCGTAAGAATGATTGTTCTCTCTACTAGCAACGTCCGAAATTGTGAGTCAATTAACATATCATGTGAGAAACAACACTTTTAACGACTGTGGTTATGTTTCAAACAAATGAAAAGTTAAAACTACCGCTAGAGTATATACGAACTAACTTATTGATTCTCTAATTCAATTTGACAGAACAGAATGTGTGTGTTCTAGATTATCTTACTTATATGTCATTCTTCAACTGTAGCATGAAATGAGAGCACTATCATCAACACTAACAATATTGAGTTTACATTTGAAACAAACCGACAACACATTGCCGCTTTTGATTGTAGCATTTGCAACAAGTTCAGCACGCAGACTCTCTTGAGGTGTGAGTACAGGAGACTTACAAGCAATCTCACAAGCAGCTTCAAACCACTCTTCTGGCCAAAGACCTAAATTTAATTTACATGTATTTTATCAACGAATAATGGACAACTCAAATCTTTTCTTTAATATTAAAAATGCCATTTATTCAGTTAAAAGTGAGTGTAGCACACATCTAATATTCCGCTCTGACTAAGCTTACTAATGAAGAATTTAACAGAAGTTTTATATATTGTAAAAGGGAACAACCTATCCGGGCGACATTAAATCCAAGCACTGTACAACAGAACCAAAAGTCGCGGAACAAATTTCGCAGTCGAACTGGTGGATTCTTTATTGTCGCAGACCTGCGCAACAGAGAAGCAATCTTTGGAATCAAAACACCTAAGTTCCCAGCACCAGTTGAAAGCTATAAATGAATAAATCTGCAGCACAAATTCAAATTCATCCCTAAAAGACAAGAAGTACAGATCACTAATGATACAACTAACTCAACGGATTGATAACGGCTTTTGGTACTTCAAATAACTTTCGCAGAGTTCTTGACCTACTCCCATATGGTTTTGAAGAAATGAGTAACTACTAGCTGAAATGTAGACGATTTAACGTTTTTAAATCTTAAAATATTTGGTTGTTACTAATTCATGTGGCAAACAATTTAACATGGTTTTATAGAAATAAATCACCTTCATGACTCTTGTCAATTTTTCACCAGCTTTCCTTCCTTCATGTCCCAGTTGCACAAAAAGTTCCAAAAGGCGGTATAATAGTATCATTTTGTCTTCATCACGATTTACATTCTCTGCCATTTTAGCCATTGCATTGTCAACTGCCAAGGATAGATATCTTAAATATGTACATTTCTTTTACGCAATATCAAATATCATCAAATCTTAAACTTACGCATAACGATGCTCCACACCATCAGTAGTGTCAGCGTCATAAGCTCGACTACTCGATTCAATCGTTATTTTTGTGAACATCAGCCAAATTAGATCGTATATGTCACGCTAAAACGGAATACCGAACTATTATTTATCCGAAATGTGTTTTCGAAGAAATTGGATTAACAACAGTAAACATACCGCGCCAGCTATCCACATATTGGCCAATTCTGCTATAATAACATCATGATTCGTGGGTGTTTCCGTAAAAGCTTGTTGAAAAACCTGAAAAAGCATGTAATTTGTTCATCATACTCATTCAAAAACAGTGGTCTCTGCAAAGTTAGGGAAAATAAGTTGCATATTTCTTCAGTAATAGAACGATGCATTTAAAATAAAGCAGAGCAAAGTTTATGGGTGTTGAATGAACATTTAAAAAATTGTTCAGATGGAAAACTTCCGCTTCCTTTAAATTCGGGTAAATACTCTAATGAAATGAAAATGATTTGTTATTTAAAATAAAACTATTATCAGCTGGTGAACACTGTGTAAACTGCAGTAAATATCTTTTGAATTTCAATTGTTTAAAAATCTTGATGTTGTCTTGATTGATGAGAAATAGATATTTTGGTACATCACTTACAAACAAAAGTTCGTAAAATATCATTAGACAATAAGTGAAAAAAATACATTGAAAGCAAGTTGTGGGACATTTTCCACATCAACCAAAGCAGCACCAATTCCGCCAACAATGTGCATTGCATTTTCCAAAGCCAGAGCGGTGCCACTAAACGTAATAGGTTCACATTGCTGTTATTACCAAAATGACATTCGCTGACATAAAAATTGTTGCAAAAATGGTAAAGAGTGAAATCATAAAAATGAGTGCTTAAATCGACTATGAAATAGCGTAATTTATTTAATTTAATATAGTAATCTATTTAACCAGATCACGAGCGCACCAATGCACTAAAAAAAAATGAAGGTTTTGAATAGAATAAACATTATTCATACTAATTTGAGTCTTTGTTAGCAATCAAGAACAATTTGGAGGAGATATTCGTTAGACAAGCTTGTACAGATGAATTGTCGACTATCATGGCCGATCTCAGTGTCCTAAAAATTGAATTAATTCACTTGTGATATTTTTAAACGAATTAGACATTTTAAATAAATACCTGCACAGCGAGTTTATTGCCACTCTCCTTAAACTTTCAAAAGTTAGCTTCTTTTTTATCATTTCTCCATCTTTCCTATCTCTCTCACTAAAAATACGCTTTTCCATAACCTGTAACAAAACCAAAACATAAAAAAATTATACTACAAAGTACTGTACTGTAATATCAAAATGCTAGTTACAGCATTAAATAGTTGAGAGTTATTCCGATTAGCGGTAAAATATGCAAGAAAACTCACACCGAGATCTGCAGCCAATTTTGAGAGGACAGGTGAAGGTTCAACTAAGAACTGGGTAAGACTGTTAACTGCCAGCGTTGCAGCAATTGTCGGGAATTTAACGGCAAGTGAGCCAAGTGCTTCTAAAGCCATCATTGTTAGAGATATTTTGGCTGATGCATGACGATGTCCGTGAACCTGCCAAAGACGATTAGCTATTGTAGCATGAAGTGACTCGGCATCTGTAAAGCACATACATCTTGTTTTTTTGATAGGTTCTACTGCTACATGATTTAGAAGACTTAAATACTAATGATACTGTTACACTCAGTCTTCTAAAAAATTAAGAAAAGCATAGTTCGACCAATAAATAACCACACAATCCATTCCTATCTATGTCACGACGAAATGAAATTTTATGAAAATAGTTTCAGAAGTGTCTCAATGCCTGCGATCATATACACTGCTTTAACAATTAACTTTTTACTGATAATCTAAAGAGGACAATCAACGTACTTCGCTTTAAATGACTTCTAGGACAATCTTTTCAATTAGCTTTTCTCCTTCTAATACCGGCGTAAATAAAGGCTGAATAAATCATCTAATTGTTTTATCTAACGCGCGAATTGATTAGATTTTTGATAGTGTGGGCTCTTTCTGAACCTAGCTAACCAATATGCAATATGCTTTGAAGACTTAAAGCTTCTGTGGATAAGAAATAAGACATCTAAATGTTGAATACACCCTAGCAGAAGCTATTTGCAGGCACTGAATAATCAAGTTATATTTCATAGGAAGAATTGACACCAAAGATAAAGTAGAAATTCATTACTTAAAAAAAAATACCGATTTCATCACACGTAGCCCAAACCATGAGTTCAAGACAAACCGAGCTGCAAAGGACATTCATTTTTACTCGATTAATCAAAAGTGGACAACGACATGTTCGTTCATCCTCGTTTAATTTCTGCGCATTCAAAAAATCTTCTCCCTTCGAATATAATTCTACAGCAAATGTCTTCACCTGAAGTAGACTAATTCAATACTTATGGTTAACAATCTATATACCAATTGTAAATAAATGATACATTTCCATTAATATCGTTAATGTTGTAGTGCGCAAAAGTTCTCAAATTTGAGAAAAATTGCATTAACTGCAATATGAAGCTTTCCAAATATATCTACGAATGAATTTATTAAGAAGAAAATGATGGCTTTACTTCTCGAGCAAATTTTTGGGTCAATGATTTTTCAAGCGTTAACATATTATACGGTGCATAAGCATCTCTAGCGGCCGTTACAAAAACCAGTGAAAGACATTCCGATAACGTTTTGTATGGGAAACGTTTGATCTGTCCAGCCTAAATATAGGTTTCAAATTTCAACTCAAAAAGAGGAAACTACAAGATGAAAAGAAATAATATTAAGTTGAATAGAAAACTTAAATGATATCAAGTTGAAAAAAAAATTATTTACCATATATACGTCAGTAGCATATCCGTCCATGATATCCAATAGTGGCTTTCTCAATAACCGTTCCATCTGCAACTTGATAAAATCAAAGAGTACACTTTAAAATTAATAAGTTACAAAACTTATATCATCTCAACACAATTTAAACGATTCATACTCACAATGTTAGAGAACGAATTCAATTCGGCAATTGTGAATTTGAATTTTGGAAGACCGCTACCGAAAAGATGAGGCAATACAAAGCTGCTCGCATGCTTGGAGAACATCTTCTGGAAATGTTCCTTCTGGTCCTGCTTTTCTGCATTGATAGCATCATTCCAAATGATGTTTTCAGAATCGGTGGTTAATCGAAGAGTATCCACTCTGAACAATGATTTCTTGAATTTAGATTTACATTTTGAGATGAAGTAAATAAAATACTAGCTAATCTAAAAAATTTAGTAGAAATAAGTCACAAACCTATTACTTCCATCTATCTTATTATTATACGCATCTGTGTTGGTGATCATGAATGGTAGAGGATAAATAGCAGAAATCAATGGGTGGTCCTTATTACCGCTATATCGTCCGAATGCCCGGAGTAATCCAATCATCAAACAAATAACTCGCATAAGGTAGCCTAAAAGTATGTCAAATTAATGTTAAATGTTTGCTGAGAAAAGAAAAATTAAAAAAAATCAAAAATATCAACATAAAACTAAAAATAGATGAAGCAACGAAAAAATAAACCAATAAATTTCACTTTGCGTTAACCTGAATTTTATCACAATATCAGATTTTCATACCGCAGTTAAAAAAGCAAACATATACATTTTGTTTGGAATTGTGGTTGCACCTGATCACAAATATCCATAATTATATCAGAAATGACCACAAGCAATTCGATCTGTGTTGAGATAATGATGTCACGCACATCTGGATAATTTGAAGCAAGCTCACTAAGAATAGTATTGAAACACACTGCGAACTGCTCCTGTACTGGTACTTCTGAAAATAAAACACATCCGCATAATGACTAACGAAAACTTACAGCCCCATTCAAAAAAAGAAATGGAAATACAAAATTAGTTACAAAGTATATCTAACCCTCAAGAAGATGGCAGAATCCAGTTCGCAGTTTTCTAAGAATTTAATTCTTAGATAAGCTTTATTTTGTTTCATTTTGAGTGAATGAGTAACTCATTTTCTCACTTATATTTAATCAGTAACTGAAAAGTTGGATGTTCTTTCATTTTGATTTAGCTAGCCTATAATGCAAAAGTATACTGTTGAAGAAAGTCTGAAGACTGAATATAATTTTAAGCAAAAGAACTTGCTTAAAATTATATTCGTCTTCCTAGATACTTATGAGGATATTTGAGACAATATTTGCGCCTTTGACGAGAAGTTATATAAACATTCGGGTATCATTACATATTCTTCTCAACTTTTTGTTAATCAGTCAGTAATGGTATTACTAAAAATCATAATACTACAAGGAGGAACTGCTCGTGTTGGCATTCAAAAAATTATGTTTCTGATTCATGAACCTTTTGAAAAGTTTAGTAATATTTCCACTCCAAGGACTATTTGGAAGGAATCACACGCTTATTTAAATGAATTAGTGTTTTGGAAATTTGATCAGTAAGTCTGTTCCTGTGTCAGATTTTTTCGTAGTTCTTGACACAGCTAAGCAATTTTGTGGTAAAAACATGCATGGGATATGAATATGCCTCAAAGAAAAGACATGGCAATTTTTAGAGATTATTTGCTTGCTTTATCTATGTGCTACCAGAATGGAATAAAATGGCTGAGACAAAAGGATGGAGGTTCACCTGCTTCGTCTACGCTATTAACCCATTTCCAGTTTCCTAATCATTATTAAAGGTGAGGACGATACCTAAAACAAGAACTTCAACTGACATAATAATGAAAATTTTGTTACGCATCCAGGAAAACCACAAAAATGAGGGTAAAAATAAAATTTGGAAAGGTATAACCAGTGATAAAAAAGCTACTGAATCTAATGAATCTCCAGTAATAACTTGTTTTGAAAGTTATTCAGAACAATTTATTACTGGAGCACGCTCAATTTTTTAATTTCATTCAATCCAATACCGACCACCAAAACGATATCAATAAATTAAATAATACGTACTATCTTGTCGATTTGGAACACCATCATCAATCCATTTTAACCTTGGCAAACTTCGGTAAATCTCCAAGAGAATTGGAAGTAAATCATTCATGTGCTAAAAAATGCAATGAAATAATAAGAATGGAAATATAGTGACTTTTGATTATCCTTAGTCTAATAAACATAATGAAGATTCAAATTCAAGAAACGAAAACTGAATGAAATTATGAGAAGCAACATATAATAATTTTTAACATATCTAATTTAATTGAAGTAATTAGCATAGCATACTCGTCCTTCGGCATATAACAAATATATCCCAGCTGCAAGCAATTTCGTTCGAGCATTATAATTCAACGGCTTCTCATCTCCGCCCACGCCGTCAAGCAAAATCTTCAATACTTTCTCTACCGGTACCTAAAAATTTTGCAGAAAACTTTTTGATACTTTTTTTGCAGTACTTTTCCCACCATCAAACTCCTCTCTAAATATTTCAAGGTAGCACCAGTTTCTACCAGTTCTTTCCAGGGGGTGCATTACATCGTTAATTTCTTTCACACGAATGTCAATAATGCCAATATCATGCAAGTCTATGTAGCATCTTTTTTTTAACATTTGTTTTACTCATCACTTTTGTATTCAAAATTCTGTTTCGTACATCGATCACGTTATATCTCAGCTAGAAACGCAATTCAGCCTCTTTGGCACGGGCAACATTATCTTTATGTTCATTACACCAAAGTGCAAATGCAAGTATTGGCTTCAGATGTGCTGCAACTTGCTAATAACACGCCTCTCTCTTCACTCAATGTTGTAAAAACAGAGAGCATTTGTGATTACCAACTGAACGGTATGATGGGAATTTCAGGATCTACAGATGTTGATGCTTTATTATCGTAATGTCTCTAAGATCAGCGATACTTACTACTTAACTTCTAACCCGATGTGCTACACTACGTCTAAATTCAAATTGCAGTCCATTTGTAACGATTATCCTAAATATTCGAGTTCAGATTGATAGAACGTTCTTTCACCTCGTTGATTCTGAGATACATCACTGTGTAATAACAAACTGTTCGACATATTTCCCTGGTTCCCAAGTACTTTGTAATCATTTCAACATTTGAATATTCTGTCGTTAGAATGAAGGAACAAAATTCCTTCATTTTTAGTACGCATTATAGATAAATGTCTCCTTTGTTTCCGTCGACTCGCATTATTAATTAGGTTCATCATAAAGGCATTTTTTTATTTAAGATTTCTTAACAAGAAAAATATAAGTCGGATTCTTATCTTCACCCTAAGAAGAATCATATGACTTTTCTGAAACAAATGAAAGGATTGGAATTTCTTTTTTCATATCCTTCCGTTAATGTATTTGTTTTTTTCACGGATATGAAAAATAAAGACTGAAATTTTGAAACAATGAAGACAATAACAGAAATGGTCAGTTCAAATTATTCAAATCCAGTTATTCATATCAGCTGAACTCATATTTAATGAAAATACCACTAACATTTTTCATCTTCGCAAGACATATTGCAGAACATTGAAGATTTTGGAATAAGAAATCCTCATCTGCCACCATATTATCAACATACTATCAGTACCATCACCTGCAACGCCTCACGTAACCAAACAATAAATAAACCAATATTTTCAAACGATATGTTCGTTCGTCCAACCACCTACTGGTAAAATGACGGACCGTCGATGCATTCGTGAGATTCAGATGTAGAGTTCGAGTAAAGCGTATGCTTCAGGGTTGAAACTTGAAGACAGGGAAGATGCAGTGTGCTGAAAAGGTAGAGCTTGACGAGTTAACGAGTTCTAAAGGATACTCATCAACAGGTATTCTACTTTAAAGTACAGGAGAATGAGCCGTGTCAAAGTAAATGTTTGACAGATTGGCCATCAGATTAGCCATTTCAGCAAATACAGCAGCGTTATTATCACTCCTTTTACCTCCGATGGGGATATACCATTAATGAGTGTGATGAATAAGGTAGTTTATTCCATTATTCTTTGCAGACAATGCTACTTCGCTTCGGAAGGCACCACAACACGCAACTAAACGTTTACTTATCATTGATGCCATGAATGTAATATACATGAAGACAGATCATTCTAGCCGAATGCAGTATGTTTTTTTATCTTTTTCTTGTCCCCTTATTATTTACATGTTGCCAGCAATGCATTGTAGAATGCCATTAACCTCATCACAAAGAATTCTTCCAATAATCAGTAGGTGCATCAATTCACCATGTGTTTATTTATGTATATGTATTTTCGTTTCTGGAAGGAAAATGATCCTTATTCATGAATATGCTGTTGCATAGAATGTATATTTTTTACCAACAACTTTGCGGCGTTAAGCTCTTTAAGGAAGTTATTTGATAAAATAGTTGTCCTGCACTTCGTTTTAAATGTAGGATATTGTGCAAATAGAATTGAGCGAAATATTAAAACAAGAAATATGCTACACAGTTCACATATGTCAGGCTATTGATATACTGCACGTAATCTGCATTTATTTCATTCAGCTGAAATTGCAGGAAACCGCTAGATTGTTTGTTAGTATTACCGATTATACGGTACTTTGTCAGGAGGGGACATGCAGTCGAAGTTGTTGTGCCCGAGTTTTGCATTTACAAAAAGTGCTTTAAAAATTTCCATATTTGGAAGGTGTCTTTTTTCGAGTCGTTTTTCTTTTATAATAATTTTTTGTTTTCTCCTAATCAGTAATTATTGTTCTGTGCACGCAGTACTTCAAATTCACTGTCCTTCAGTTATTTAAGGATCTCAACACTTTGAAACTGTTAATAGCGGTGCCGCATATGTTACATGATGACCTTGTTGCTCTTACGGTTGCAAGGGATGCTTGCGGTTCTGTTATTACGCAGGTAAATTTTACATATTTTGGATTTGTATTTTTTAGGTATGGATATTAATTGTCACTAATTAATTCAAATGAACAATAGATGAGTGAGATCTGGAACTCTTGGCCTTCGATGACATATTGAACCCTCACTTAAATAAATATTCGAAGCAGCTTGACTTTATTATTAATACAAAACATCTTCATTACTCATTCAAACTGAATATTTGTTTTAGGATAAATTTCGTGACCATATGGCATATTTTCCCCAACTGCGTCGGATACGTTCACGTAATATAATCTTAGCATTTACGGATGACACAGAAGAGCCAATGTTTTTTACAAATGCGAAAGGCGACAAATATTACAAAGGAAATTTCAAATGTACGAATTACGCATTTGGTAATTTTTTTGTTTTTTAAGATTGAAGCGTTTATTTTATGATGTGGTATTGATGTTATATATGTCTATGCTTCATAAAAATATAATAATATATTGATTGCATAATATTCGAAAATATTCAGTATGTTAGTAATTGTTTAGTTAAACAAGTCGCTACTATATTTATGATGCTGTTTAAAGACTTATGATAATGTTTATCAAATTTCTTTATTCAATTTCGGATTAATTCTAATAATTCAATATAATTCGTTTTTCTCAGATTATTCATTATTAGTTTCAGAACAGTTTTATAGTTTGCCAGAAGATGATGATTATTACATTGTCAAAAATGAGCGATGGTCTGAAGAACGCAGGAAAGAAGTACTTGGACATATAGATGAAATTTATGCATTAGCTGAAGCTCATTATATGCTTAACGAAGGTTTGTTTCAAACTACAACTGCTCCTTCATACAAATGGCTACTGACATTCCTGAATTTTCAGGTTTATACTATTTTAGTAATTTGATTTTAATCAGGAATGGACTATTTTATATGTGGCTATAATTTTTCAAAGTAATGACGATATTATTGTAGGAAAACAGTTATCTAAGTGTAACCCATGCAATAACCCCGTTAAAACTTCCTCTATCGACGTATATGAGAAAATAGTGAGAGATAATGAGCAAGATGAAATTGCAAAAGACGAAAGTATAAAAACTTTGCTTTGTTGGCGAAACACTGCTCAGAATCAAGAACTGAAAGTAATTTTTCTTAATTTCTTTTCAAATAATTTTTTTTAATTTTTTTTGTTTGATATCTGGGGACGCTTCTAAGAGACCTTGATTGATAATTAAAAAATTCTATATCAATTGAAAATTAAGCAGGTATCCCTCATACCTCGATGAAATTAACGCATACCCTTATATATATATCCACTGCGATTCATATGTGGAGCTCTTATCGGTCATTTACTTTATAGTATCAGCTACAAGGACGATATAATGATATGTATCAGCGATGTATTACTTTTAATTTTGCTTATGATGGCATAGATGTTTTCGGTTCTTCAAATCCTCTTCCACTTGAGGAAAATGCAATTGACGAAGATTCGAAAGATGACGCATGCAAGCCCACTGTAAGACACACAGAATTCTTTTCAGCAGGATTCGTAGAGCCTTAAAAGGAACGTCCATATCGCACGGTTAAATATAAAATGTTGTTTAGCCAGTCATATTCTTAATTTATCATTCTTTAAACATAATTAGATCTTATTTAAAGACTACACAATTACTTTTTTCTTGTAATATTCAGTTATATTTTCATTCAGTAATATTTTAACATTTGTTATTTTTACTCATTTTCTAAATATTTGCAGTCTGTCATAATAAAAGAAAATACTGCTTGCAAATCATCTCATACTGAAGTTAATCATCTGCAATCTTTGAAAAAATGGACAAGATATGAAACAGAGAAGAGATTATTCAAAAGTGATACGGTCAGCTCTTTAATTTGAAGCTATTGCTTATACACTTTTCTTGTAAAAGTGTTAAAATTTTTAAGTGTTTGTACCTCTCACTTTAGTTCGATTTATTATTTCACGTACTAGATAATTATTGTAGCATGCTGAATCGAAGGCACATTTGTGGAAAACATTAATTGGTGAAATGGAAATAGATAAAAAATCCTTCTATGACTTTCTCTCATCATTCCATGGTACAGTTGAAAGAGAATTTGTGCTGAATGCTTATTACGATCAACTCAGCTCGTCTGTGCCTGAAGAAGAAATAATGGACCCAGTAGGTTTGTTATAAAATTTCGTTTATGGCATTTTAAAACAAAAATTGAATAAGAATATTTGAGCATTTCGCAGCTGAGTAATATATTCTTCATATCTCGTAATTACGAAGATGAGTGTTTATTTCAGATTAGTGTAGTTTTAGTTTTTCAAAGCATTTTCAGTCTTCAAATAATCCAAGAAAGGTATGAGATCATGACGAATACGATAGATACGCATCTGGTAAAGGATAATATTAAAGAAAGAAAGAATTAGAATGTTTTAGAAAATAATCTATAAGTTACGTTATTTGCGCATTGGACAAAACGAAATTACTTGGTCTGGAAACTACGAAATGTATTAATTAAAAACATTTCAAAGCTGCAAAAAAATTTTTAATAAGCGTAGCAGTTATATGACTAATACACTAGTATTCTATGACGTCATCATCATACATGGTTGAAAATGATTTCTATTGTACTGCAAACTTTTTTGTTCTGAAATTTGATGGAAAACAGTGGAATCTTATATAATTTCAGGGAAGATCAGAAACTGCTCAGCATTAAGTTCATCTTCATGTTCAGTGGATGAGCGACCTAGTAAATTGATTGGAAAGGTTCATATTTGCAAGTTGTTTCTTGATTATTTGAAATCTGTTTTTCTTATGGTAACTAATTGTTCACTAAAAGATTGAAGCGAATGTACTTCTCTTGGAAGAGAATTTGTTATTAATACTTCAGAAACAGTTCGCTTCTTTGAGAAACAGTACATTCAGTATTGCTTCTATAATATTACGATATTTTGTAATTTATATAACGACAAGTTACTGAAAGGGTCTTGATTACTTCAAAAAAAAGAAAAATCAAAATAATGTGTGCCCAAAGAACGGACAGTCTTTGGAAGGAACTACCGAGGGAGAAAAAAGTAATAACTTACTAGTTAGAAAATCAAAGAGATTCCACGTTTCAGAGCAAAAGATGAAAGATTTGTGCATATCTTCATCAGTTTCTGTCTTCCTGGTTTCTCTTATTTTTATTAATGGGGAGAGCAGTATACATTCTTCCAAGGAATTTGTTATTAGACGAAATTCCAAAATTCTTCAATCTTTGAACAATTTTCGCCATTTTCAGTTGAGCGTAGAGAAAGAGCTTATGTGGAGATCGCTAGTAGATGAGTTAAACTTGGACAGCAGTATGCTTTATAATATTTTGCGATCTTGGGACAAAAGTCCTTTGGAGGCTGAGCGAGTTGTAAATGCCTACTTCGAGCATATGAATGATTGGAAAACTAGATTCACATAAATAAGTATCGGTTAGTTCGATGTACTTTAAAGATTTTAGCAAGCAGCGTAGTGTTATGGAAAACGTCCGAAGAAATTTCAACTAAAGTCAATTGATCTGTTCAAAATATATCGCAAATAATAGCAGTGTCAAACACATGCGACATATACTGTAAGAATGTAAGCATAAGCAATACATGAAACAAATAAGCTACTTAGAGAGCAAATCGGAACGTATTTAATGGAAAATGAAGAACCAATTATTGTTTCTGTTTCGATAGTAACTTCTGCAAATTCATATACATTGAGAAAGTAAAAGGTTATAAAGAAAATTTACTGTTATTAATGAATATTTGTTACGCAATTCCTTTAAGAAGAGCAAAGAAGGCAGAAAGCGACTCAATGAAAATAGTTCTGGCACAGATGACTGCCGCATTCGTCCCGAATGATAAGTAGATCATAATGGCTGAGTAGTGAGAACGAGAACCGAATCATCCGCCATTTAATGCAGGGACAACGCTTTTATATGCTTAGAGTTCTGTTTTGTAATGAATGTTTATTCCACATTTTTGTTGCTTATATTTTTATAGTTAGGTTTAAAAATTGTCTTTCACATTTATATCAGCGGGAACTGTCCATTATTATCTTTCTAAAGTATTATGGAGAATAAGATGTATATGACTGGCCAATTAACCAGAATAGAATCTTTGAAAACTTGTACTGGGAATTTCGGTTTCCCCTGCAATCAGGTAAGACGACGAAAAGATATGGACGAAAGAAATTATATACATATGAATTATATACAATATATACATATGATTGCTAAGATATGTTCTTCTCATTAAATTTTTGCATTAGCAGACTTTTTGCAGTGCAATTACCTTTTTTTCATCGTGCTTCTTAATGTTCATTGAATTTCACTTTGTTTTATTGCATTGTTTTTTGTGTTTTTCGAACTTGTGACTTAATTGCATTAATATCATTTATTTTTCTCTTCGACTATTTTTCCGGTTCAAACTATCCGGTTTCAATGCTTATAATAATGTCTTTCCTAGCTCATATGTAACAATTTTTGTTTCATTCATATCACGATTTTTTCTGCATTTATCAATAATCATTGCTCGTAATCGCTTCACCATGACTTAGATACACATCATATTTTTTAAGCAAATTAGTGCATGGCTAAATTTTAATTGGAACTTTTTATCTAAGGAACAGTGAACTTACTCATTTTCCTTTTTTATCAGGCATTAATTAAGAGTACCGCTTCCCCCTATAAAGCAAACATATTAAACTTTTGAAAGGGCAAGACAGGAAGGGAAAAAATTGAAGTGAATTTGATAGATATCTGACAAATTTTGCCCTCAACTCAATCTATCAGTATCAAATCAATATTGCATATCAAAACAGTTTAAAATAAAAGTTCTTTATGAAGAAAAACAAAAGAGAAATTCCTTTTATAAAGAAATCTACAAGATCTGTAGTTGCAGCTCTTCCGTATCGAATTGCAAGCACTGTGGCTTCCGGTAAATTAGGCTCTTAACTTTTGAATCAATATTCACTTCATCCAATTCTCCATATATAAATAAAAGTGCGAACCGGTGGTCTTTCGTTCCAAGAAAGCCGAACCTTCCCCAGAGTCCTTTCAGAGTGTACAGGATTTTCAACTTCCCTAATGGAAGCAATTTATCGGCCAATATATTTTGTTTAACTGGAACAATGAAATGTTAAAAATATATGTATCTGACCAAAGAATGGAGATCTAAGAATTATGGGTAAGATAGAAATTGAAGCAAAACTTATAATGCAGCGCATAGCGTGAAAAAAAATTACATATGCTTGTAAATTATATTGTGGTCAAGATACAAAAGATTACAGTGGTATTGGGTATGTTGTAAATTTGAAAGCAGTAAATTTGCTGATTTTTTTTTCATTTTATTTGATCTGTAATAATCTAAAATACTTCTAATTTTCCATTGATCTTGCCAACGTTGGGAATACTAAATGAATTTCACTTCGAAAATATCAGACAAACCCTGCAGACAATTTTTGTATGCACTAAAATAGCCAACACGATAATGTCCAGCACTTAAACATGGAAACTCGGCAATGGTAACTGATCTGTTTGCTATAACCGTATTGTAACAAGAAACCACATATAACCAGGTCAATGGCTGCAAAGAATTAGGAATATCTGCTGAATAAACCGCGACCCAGTCACGATATGATCCGTTACTCCTCCAGAAATCATCCAAATATGTAAATCGACATGTGAATGGCACGATATTGTGCCAGTGAGGTACTTTTTCGAAACAAACTTTCCATTGAGAAGGCTGTCGTGATACTGGTTCAGATAGAATAAAATGCGCATAAACTGGAAAATGATCGGATAAAGTGATCATGCGATTTGATTCGTACCGCTCACAACGTAGAGATTTTCCTTTGAAAAGAATGCGATCGCACCATGATGGTACACGATCTTGGTCGTAACAAGAGGAGCCAACCTATATAGGTATACAATCGTTAAACAACCGAAATCAAATAAGACGAAGAAAAATAGCATTTTAAGTACATTCCCAGAAATGATGTACTATTCTGATGTTTTGTGTAATTTAAACTTTTTCTGAACAAAAAATGAACAACGGTACTTTACGGACAAACATTACCATCAGGCGGTAAGTGGGAGCAAAGCGAATTTTCTCCTCATTGTAATCCATGAAAGCCTCTCCGTTTCTCTGAGCTCTTTTTAACTGATCAAATTTATTGACCAGTTTGTCCATATAATCGTTAGAATTTAATTCAGCCAGCTTCCTGAAAGAATCGCCGATTGTGAAATATTATAATATCGATTCACTGAAAGCAACTACTCGAAAAAAGATGAAGAGGGTGTCATTTCCTGGGAGAGAGACGATACAGAAAAAATAAGACCTTAAAAAGAAAAGATGGATAATCCGGAAACATACACAATCATTTCTTGAGATGTGAGTTGATCTACTCTCCAATTAAAATCGCCTAGCCATATTACATTATTATTCTCATCAGTGCTCCTTGCTATATCGTCAAAGGCACAAATTTTCCCACTTTTATATTGCAAACACCTTTTTTCATAATTACTTGCATTTGGTAAAAGATGCGACGTAATAAAAACCAATGAATTTTCACCCTGGAAATATATATTAGTCTACGGATTAATTTCTGCAACTTATAATGAAAAATCTTTTAAAACAGTAGCTTGTTTTTTACACTTGCAAATTTCTACCGCCCCTTTGCTCTGCTGTGAAAAAAACCAGGGAGGTTTTTATTTCCATATTGAAACAAAGGACAAAAGATAGTCCGATAACTTACCCTAAACTTTATCCTTAGCGATATGCTTCCTTTATGACCAGTAAGACCTCCTAAACTACATCGTGACTGCCGTGAGTTGATTTCATTAACTAAAGGAAATACTTCCAACTGAGCGAAAATGAGTAACAGATTCCAAGCAAGTGATGCTTTACAAAGAAGTGATTTTCCATGAGCACTCATCCACGATGTCAGAAATGATAACCATGTCGTTTCGGCCGGTATTGTGCCAAATAACTCCAAATGAGAAAGTTCCTTAAGATATGAAATTTGAAAGCATTAACTCATTCATTCTCTCCGTAAAGTTTGGAGTGGTATGGAAAAAGGGATGAGGAATACAAAGAGAATGGAAAAGGTGAGAGATCGAAAGACAAGAAAAGGACGACTGTTTTTTTTTTTTCATTCTTGATTGGTAAACTGCATATAATCGGAGTGATTAACATTCTTAATCCTATAGCATAAACTTGAAAATTAAGATTCCTCCTCATCTTAATTTTTATTAAAACAATTAACAAACGCAAAGAAAAGATTGTATTTATTTCATTAGAAAACTATTTGATCGTATACAAAAGAAAAGAAATACAAACCTGTAATCCAATCGCAACAATAACAGCATCTTTCGCATCATCGTGTTGTAAAAGTTGATGGATTTGATCATTTTCAGGTTTCTTGCAGTTCACGTTATACGTGACACAAACTATTCTCCAATCTAGCGCATTCATTTAAAAAGTCACAACTCAAAGAAAGGATATGGACATTTAGCCATCCACGACATCATCCGATCACTGAACACTTCTAGTTTTTTAAGTAATTATAACCAACAATATTGTGTTTAACTTCATTAAGCTGATGTCTCCACCAATGCTCATTCAGCTCACACGTCATTGGTTGATGACTTTCAAATATATCATGGAAACTTTGACTACAACTGTATTCCATCTTAATATTACATGTTTGTTGCATCAAGGATCATAGTAGAGATCCATCCTTATCAACGAAATATTTCGCAAACAGTAATGGCATTCATAACCTTCTACAAATAATGACAATGAAATACTGTCAAAACATACTTTATACAAAACAAGAAAAAATTGAGAACCAGGCGAGAATATATGAACCAGAAAAATGGGGCAACGACTAACCAAGACGATGGTTTAATTTAACGGAACTAGAATGTTCATTCCTGAAATATAACTTGTAAAATTTTAAGTGGCGATAGTATAAATGTGGTCGTGACCCGACAATAATCGATGGCGTAATAAAAATTAAATCCGACTAGATCATTTTGATAAAAAAAAAGTATGCTGAAATAACATTTTGTAGACGCGAAAAAACATCCCGTAATGGGCTTAATGTAAAAAGTTATACAGGCCAAGGAAAACTGCAAGAACGAAAAATGTTTTAACTGGGAATATTGAAATACTTCATACAAGTTTTAAAAAAATTGAGATACGTAGCAAACTCAAATCTAACGAATAATCAAACAGTTATCCAACCAACACAAAAGTAACGGTGATTGGCAAACAAAAGAACAAACTAAAAATAAAATGATCACAGTGAAATTAACTTTTATAGGAATGCAAGGTGAATTTATTCCAATTTTAAGTATCCAAGATTCAAACTAACTGAATTTTTAGAAATGTTGGGAGCAGTCGACAGCAGAAATATTGAGAGATCTGTTAAAATTGGTGTACTAAGTCAGGATATAAATATGCATTATCGATACGATCAGAATTTATTCCCAAAACAAAAAAAATGTCATGCAATTAAGACGTCTAACTAAAGACAAATATTGACAGCACATATTCTGTCACTTCACAGACGATGCAGCAGCAAGAACAGTGCATAGTTTTATCATTCAAAATATAACCCTTCTTTCAACCAATAACCAATAAAAATGTCTAAACCATCCCGATGAAATTTCATCTGATAGCAGCTCGTCGCACACGCTTTCGAAGTGGTGGCCGATTATCATTTACCAGAACATTACCAGAACCCGTCGAACTGCTTTCGTCGCTACCGCTAAAACTGAAATCGCCAGGAGTTGTAACACCATCACCAACCAACACTGATTCCAAAAGATCGTTTGCTAACTCTGATCTTTCTCTCTTCATCTGTTTCCATTCTGCAGAGCGTAATACATCTCGGTGATGCAGTGACATATATTTCGTGCACGCCTGCATAAAAGAACAGTTTAATCTTAGAAGAAGCGAAAACAGAATGGAAATTTTTTAACAGACTGGACGAAAAGTGTCCTTCACTTTAGAATAGCTAACTATAAATAATTTTTATATGGAATCCCGATGATAAATCTTACGACTGCATTAAAACATTTCAGTTGTGTAACAACAAAAGAAAATTCCTTGGCCGTATAGCAATTTGAAACTCACAGAAAAAAATTTTAAAAAATAAAAAAAATTATTAAAAACAAAACAAAAACAAAACAATATGGTTTAAAAATATTCCAAATATTAATTCCAACTTGTTTAAGTATCGAAGCCGAATAAGTATCAGCAAACACTGCGGTAGAGGCAACATTTTTACAGTTAATAGTTGTTGAGAGATATCGCTCGCACTGTTCCTTAAGAGGCAGAATAGCGTATTTATCAGCTATGGCTAAAACATCTTCTGCATAACCTTCCACAAGATCTGTCGAACCTGTATATATGTAGTCTACCATGGCCCGCACCTTAAAGTTCGACATGATTTTCGAAACAATAATATTTTGAATGGGAGACTCAATACATAATGAACTTTATGGAAATGAGTCATTGTTACTTACAGGTTCAAACCTTGAATCCTGAATATCAATAATTCCTTTCTGAGCCTCTAACATCGATTCTTGCGCAAACATTGAACGGAATACTTCGCTATGCTGTCCCAATATACAGCGATGAGCTTTTAGCGTCTTATTACCGACCTGTAAAATGTATAAATTATTTCACAATGCACACAATAACTGGACATATTTTAGAAATTTAACCATCTGTATGATAATAACAAAATCAACTAGCTCAAATATGCAGTAAGATAAGCGACGTACCTTTATAGTACAGTCTGCAAACAGCTCACTGTCTAGCATATCTTTAAGAGAATCCCGTATTGAAACCTCGTTCTTTTCATCAAAATCATCCAGAGGCTCTGCTTCCACTGCTTGTTCAACGCTGATTTTTGATCCAGGAGGAAAATATTCAACCTCACAGATAAGAAGTAAAGCTCCGTCTGTTTTCAGTGCTGCCATCATCTTATCTCGTGAAACCTTCGAATATATAAGTATAAATTTTTATGTCAACAATATTTGAACACAAAATTCTTTTGAAGTCAGTTAATCTTGAAGTTCAGTAATTATTTCACATCTGTACAGCATACTTTAAACATACACTTGCAGTCAGCTTTCTTTTTCTCTTTACCGTAAATTTGAAATATCAAAGTTGCTCTTGAGTAACAAACCTGAAATTTCCCACGACCCTGTTGATTAGTAAAATCTTTGGTATCTCTGCACACGCTAACCCTTAATGAGTTCGCATCCAACGCGTAAATTTGAAACTCCGTCATTATGGGATCTTCACCGCGCTGAAAAATGACAAAGCTGCTGTAAGATTCAGCTCATTTTCCAGTGATTACAATGTTGCATGCACATCTTTAATCCATGAAACTCCCAGCTTCTCAAGAGAACTACACCAATTACCTGCAAGCCTACTTGTCGCAAAAAGAAAGAAACATTGCCAACATCCTCTTCTCGTTTCCCATTAGGATAAACGTGCAGTTCCCATGTGACTGTAGGCGCTTGTGGACATCCAAATTGTTTACTGATTAAATTGTGTCCATTTTTGAACAACTTCATCAGTTTTTCAAACTGAAAACAACGATTAGATTCAACCATACAGTAATCAATCTTGTAAACCTATTACCTATACTCCGAAATATGCAACATCCTAAAATAAAGAGACACACGAAATAAAACGCTAACATCACCTGATCAATTTTCCATTCCAAGCGAGTAGAGATAGCAGTAACCTTGGTTGCCTGTTTCGAAACTACTTCAAGACGACGTGGATGTTGTGGTGATGCGTCTTCAGCTAAAATTCTATTATCAAATCACAATTTATAATGTCTCCAATTTTATATTGTTCCAAAACTTTCGTGAGTTCCAAGTAAGTTTAACTAGCCACATCAACTAAGCATTGCTAATGTACCGACACTTCAAAAAAACATACAACGTGTCGGCGTCCTTAACCCCGAAATCTGTACGGCTGCGTTCATCCGATTCGACATAACACGTAAAATTGGATAAAAGGAAACTGAAACCATCGAACATCATCAAATTCCATTATTTGTGATTCCTTTCCAACCAACATTTGTATAATATTAACCACTCATAATTTAATCGTTAACAAAATAATAGTATATTACTATATAAGTATTGTTACATCACTCTATTCATGCGACAGTTATAACCAAACAACCTCTTTCACTTCTGCTTTTATAAGATGAGCAGATTTATTATGATATAAAGGAGTTATAAGAGATTATTCTATCGCCTCCACTAGGAATGAATATTCTGCTCATTCTATAGTAATGGTTTGTCTGTCGTTATTCCATCTATCACAGTAATTACAAGAAACCCAAATTTCTCGAAACGATTATCACGATATATGTTCAAACAAATAAGGAGACATCGGTATAAAGTGTGAAAGTGTAGTGATCCAAGCAAGAGAAAGCAAATACTTAATTTGTCCTCTTCTGACCTCGTTTTACCTTCCACAAATTACGGATTCAGCAGGCATATCCACTGAAAAGGGCTTCAAGCCATAATGAAGCAAGCAACAGAAACAATATTCAATGTTCAGGTCATAGTTAAGAAAAAGTCATCGATTCTGAATAGCAGTTGAACATTTAACCTGTTTAATGCAACTCATTCAGTTGAAACTCATGTGACATCTGACCCTGGTAGGAAATTTCTTCTGACTATCCCTAAAGCAAACGTAATTTCCACTGACACCCGAATGTATCAAAACACAAACCTCATAAGTTTAAGGATATTCTGCGGCTCTAAATGAACGTTTTGAAACAGTTGATGTCTCAATGATATATATATATATATATATATAAGAATATATGAGCGTTAAGACTCTGACATAAATTAAGTAACCCTTTCAGTTGTTTTGATTAAGCAAATGAACCATATCGAATGATAGCAACGACCGAGTTGAGTCATTCAACTATGGTTAAAACTTCATTTACTTATTGCTAGGAAATTTTCATCCTAATTTTTAAAAAGCAAACGGATGGCTAACGTATTCGTTTTTTCGTAGAATGAAAGAAGCTCTATATTTAATTTTTGTGAATAATACTCGTTTACATACTGCTTGTATTTTATATATGATTTTATATTCCTAATTAATTTTACATTCTGTTTGTAAATCACTATCTTTGTCGAAATGACCGCAACTGATAGAATCGTTGTGATAGCAATAATGTATTTGTGATTATACATTAATGATTGACAGTTTCATCAATCTTACGTGAAAAGTGAAACCGATTGTAACTTATGGGTAGTTTGATTATTTTGTTGCAAAAGTTAAAAAACGTTTGCTATTTGGAAAGAATGATAACATGAAGGATGACGATCTTTAAGTTAAGAAATGTTTGTGCGATGTGTTATATAAATTGACGTTTACTTTGTGCTAATAAAATCAAAGATACCATTGGTGGATTAGTTTTAAATTTAATGGAAAATCAAAAAGAGGAATAAGATTCAGACATTTACTCTCTCTAAACGATAAAATCATTTATCGTTTACAATTAGAACATTATTGCGATAAAAGAATAAAGTACCAAACGAGCCAAACATTGTAATGCAATGATATGAAGAGATCCATGAGTGAGTAATTTTCAGCGCCATCAAATTACAGATTAAAGGTCGTTTGCTTGTGTTCTCTCTGCCTTGACATTCTAAAAGAAAGGAAAACAATGAAATTGAAGATAGTAATTAACATTTCAACCAATTAACGCTTATTAATTGAGATTCAAATTTTCAAATCATTTCCATACCTCTTTCTTCTCCTCCTGAGTAACATTCACAGCAAATTCCTTTTCTTTTTTTTGTGTTTTTGCAGGTAACTGTAAAAATAAACATTTTTCTTCTGAAGTGAGTAGTGGAAATGTATTGAAGGTAATGAAATTATTACCTCATCCTGAGTAATATTCACAGTAAATCCCTTTTCTGTTTTCTGTGTTTCCGCAGGCAACTGTAAAAATAAATATTTTTTTTTCTGAAGTGAACAGTGGAAATGTATCGAAGAGAATGAAAGTATTACCTCATCCTCATCTGAGACAGGTGTTACGATCGGATTTGCTTCATTCTGCCGATCCTATAAATCATTCATTTCTCTGTTACCTTCATTTCCTTCCTCTAAGTTTGTCTTTTACAGGTAAATACATCTCAAATCTATCTATATTTTAAATGTTTGATAGAATCCTTACCTCTTCAACCTTTTCTGTCTCTTCCTTCCTTTCTGCTTGCCCATTTTTCTTCTCTTTTTTACTTTTTTTTTCATCCTCTTTTTTGTTGTTCTTTTTTTTCTCCTTTTTTTGCTCTTCATCTTTTTTCCTCTCAATTTTCATTTCTTCATCTTTCTTCATATCCTTTATCTCTTCCACTTTATTCTTGTTTTCCTGACCTACTGTTGTCGGCTGGGTTGAAGCAGCATTTACCTGGAAAACCAATTATTATGAATTAGTATGTAAAGCTCGGCCGGAAGCTACCCTTTATTTCCCGACTGAATATGGCTCGAAGTTACCATTTAATTTGTCTTATCTTATTTGGACAAGTTACCTTCGTGGCTCAGCATAGTGATGTATTTCCTTCTTACCTCAAGATTTCACATTGCAAACCTTTATGATGATGAAATGATTCAATCCGATTTTTTCTTTCTATTATCAATGGAAACGTGATTGTTTGAATTGTTTATTACTTCGTTGTCATTTCTTTTTTACATTCAGCTTCTTTTCAAAACAAAAGTAAATAAAGTGGTAAATGTAAATCGAATAATTTAGCATCGTTTATTCGCATATTTCAACTTGCCTTTTTCCCTGAACAACTGAAGAGGCATAGTGTAATGTGCAAGCATGTGAACAAAACGGATATACTGAAATACAAGTGAACAAGATTACTGCTGAGAAATGAATTACTACAACTGCCTCGCATCATTGTTTCTTGCAATATGTTTCGTATCCAATATAATTTGGCAATGCCATATGCAACCATCTCGCAATCATCGTGAAACAGCCAACCGCAGGAACACATCAAATCACTATCAATGAAGTTGATTATATCTTCTGGTCTTATATGTATAATCTTTAACTATCTTTAAGCAAATCGACATCTGTTACATAATGCTACCGTAATATGAAAAATCAGAAAGATATAATTGATTTAATGTTCATCACTTTTATTGACTCATTTCTAGAAATTTCAGAAGATTGTGAGCAACTTTTTTGGATAAGGATACATTCAGCTATTAAATTCGAGACTTTTAAACAGATGATCTGAAAATAAATTTGGAAAAAAATTTTTGTAAGAACGAATTTTCGACGCATTAAATGATTATATAGTTGTGATCGTTTTTATTAAAAAAATATATGTATTAAATGTCGTATCGAGGAATGTTTTATCCCATTCCAATTTAATGCTTTTTCAATAATTCCCGTTCTATTCCATCGAACTATTGCGTTAGCAATTTCCATATTTATGAATTTATAGTATGATTCTCTGTAATTCTTCGCGGCTTCAAAACTGAGCCTATTTGGAGTAACTCTTGTTAATGTCAAATAATATGCAAATGACTGCAACTTGTGCAAATTAGTGACAGCCAAAATCGCATATCAAAACATATGGCATTTTTAACTGGCTTGAGTGGTCGATAATGCACGAAAAGGTAGTTTTTAAATTTCCAAAACATAACATATATGGTACGAATCAGGAAGTTATCATCAACGAGTGCATAGTATAGTGATAAACCAGCACAAGGAGTGAAAGGAATGCATTATATGCGGAGGGAACAGCTATCGACAGGATGTGGTCCATATTGGCATAATTGCATAATGAGCCCATACATGAGCACATCATTACCTGGAATGAGGGAGAGAATGGAATTTAAAGTAAATAAATGTGCTGACTTTTTGTAATATATAAACTGAGAGTGGAATAAATTTGAGAGTATCTTAATGTTGTCATTTATCATTATTACCTCTTCTCACTATTAATTTCCTAACCACTCAAATTTTTAGATAACAATTGATAAGTTGATGATTATGATAAGTCAGCAATTTTTAGAATATCTCGGATTGTTGCTCCCTTAATCCTTTAACTTAATTCAAAACAGATTTCAAGGTTTATTTTAAGTTAAATTAAATTTATCGTACCGTCAAAATCATTCACTCACTGCTTTACCCTATATTATCATTTATTGGCAGCTCAATCGATGCTACACAATGAAGTATCAAAATGTTTACGAGGTCAGTTTGTGGGGTGAGCGCCACGAGATGAAACAATCGTCGATCAGTTATGCGGCATTCTGATTTATCAGTTAATGCACCGCGGATATCCTCATCGAGACCAAACAACAAAAACCGATTCACGCAACCACGCATTACTGCATGCGTTGAAACTGCAAGTTGTAGTAAATACATTATATAAATTCTGCAAATATTTGTTAAAATTAAAATAACAAATTCTAACTTAAAGATTTAGGATAAAATGACTGATTTAGAGAAGGTATTAGTTTTTGTACCTTCTAAATCAGTGCTGAGAAAGATTGCAATAATTAGAATCTTTAAAATAATTAAGACTGAAATTTCGACAGTGATTTGTTAACTAATTATGATGCATATCAACAATTTCTTCTCACTAATTTCTATTTTCAACAATAAATGATTTCATAATGGTAGTATGAAAAATACACAGGAAATAACAAGTCCATTCATCTGCTTTCCCTTTCCATACTGCAAAATACTTTATATTTTTATCTCAATTCCTTACTTGCTGATTATTCGATAATAAAAATATAAGCAGATATTAGTTATTCACAATCTTTAAACAAATGAGATTAAAAATGTTGAAAATCTTTAGATTTGAAGCTATCGTTAAATAGGAGAAAAATCAAATTTTACCAACTTCAAAACCTGGATTGTACTTGGCAGAATGACTAAAAATTAACCAGGTGAAAGAGTTTTTTTAATTAAAATAAACATTTGCACTTGAATAAAATTCGGTAAATGTTTTGAAGCTGCGATTAAATAACAACACTAATATTAATTTATACTAGTATGAGATCAAAGTAGCAAGCTTTTAATAAAGCTTTTTCTCAAACTTCATTGTTATCAGAAAATTTATGGCTTCAATGAAAATTCAACATCTTCGAAAAATAAAAAACGAATCTTTTATAATACAGGAGGTTTAATATACTATGCATTATATAGATCCTATTCTTTGTTCAATAGCAAAATAAATAAATATTTAAATATCTGTGAAAGAAAAATAAAAAAAATAAATATTTTGATTAGTTATTTAAAAAGCATATGAGCGGCTGTAATTCTTCTTAATTTTCTTTCATAAAAATTAATTCTTATCGATTCTTTAGATGAAATATTTTTTTTCAAATAAAAAACTTTAAATAATGAAAATTATGTTACAAAGATAATATTTTTTAATGCATCTTACATTTTTATAACTTTTATGGGAAAACAAATTGAACGATCACATGAAATATAAATATACTCAATCAATACTTGGATGCTATCCATAATTTTGCTCAAAAATAATGTTGAAAATTTGAGAAATATTTTTAAGTCTTGGTACCTACAACATATGATATATTACCAAAGTGTTTTACAGTAAGTATAGTGTAGAGTTGAAACATTCAAATTAACTCAAACTAATCAAACGAAAGATATTTTATAAATCAGAACCGATGATCGGATAATTCCAATCATTTGATCCTAAATTTAGCAAAAATGATATTGGTGAAAAAATGCTAAAATATGGTAAAAATGTCTTGTTCATAACTCTAAAATTTTTAATTTGCCATCAGCTGCTTAACAATAAGATAAATAAGCCTATTTAATCTTTCATTAAAACAATAGCAAACGCTAAATGGGACATAACTAGAAAGCTATAGCAAGTCAGGTCAAGTATATGTTTGATTTAGGCAGCTATGCATAATTTTCAACTGATTAACAGTCTCACTTTTATATTTGTATAATCATAGAACGAATTCTTTTCCACACTTTGCTGATAATAATTATTATATGAACTTTGCAAATCTATGTTGATTTTTGCCTAATTTATATTTCAATGAGCAAAACAAAAAAAAGGAAAATTTATGAAGAAAGAGAAAAAGAATTCTTTTCTTCCCTTTCAGATAAATGAGGTGGCCTCTCTTGCAAAGTTGTCAGCAATATAAGCTTCCGAAAGAAATAATAATAAAAATAGGAGGGGAATGGCAAGGCGCATTGAAAGCAATAATTTCTTCCGCTAAATGTATCAGCGCTTTTTTTTCATACTTTTATTTAGTAAAATGTCAAAAATAATTTTGTGCATCAAAAATGAAATTTTAAATCTCATAATTTAATTACTTAAATATCAGTGCCTTTCTTTACTAATCGATATAAGAAATAATCAAAAAAAGAAATATTTCGATGAGTAATAATAATTAATCATTTAACATTTTTGAAACATTTATTCACAAAAATTTGTTTATTCAATTGCTTGAAATCGAATTTTCTATCAAAGTTAACTTAATTTATTCCGTTAATACTAAAAGTTAATGAATTAATTAATAATTAGGCGACAACATTTTCCTGTCTTTTACTTTATTTTCTTCAATACTGAAATAGTTGGAAAATTTTGCAAAAATTGAAAAACGCTATCAATTAATCAAAATAAGATCATTCAATTAACAAATATAGAGGTTAGTGTAATCAATAACTCATATATATATATATATATATAAGAAATGAAATAGTTATTTTTGTTATTGTCTTTCATCGCTCCCATCCATTCATGTCAACTGCTTAAGCTTCATTGAGTGCCTATAATAGAGAGAGAAGAATCCTACTCATTCCAGGAAAGCATTCAATGTTTAGTTTTTTCTACAAAACCTTCCGTGATATTTCTCCATTCGAAATGAATGAAATATATATCTCTCTCTCTCCCTCTCTTACTCTCATATGCATACCTTTTGACTATTACTACCTTTGCCATAACAGGAAGACCCAATCAAAAAGCACTTATAATGTGTCGCCATGAATTTCAAAACAACGACCACTGATGAAGCAGCTTCAAGTCATCTATGTCACTTTATGGTCAAATTAAAAAACTCTACTAATTGAGCAACTCAACAATTGACATGAAAGATAACAATCCGTCAGATGCGAATATAATCACTCATCTGATCTTTAGGATTATGGCTCATCCGAATAGTAGACGGGTTACTTAGAAAGTTTAATGTAATTATGTCTCAAAATAAATCAATATCAATATATCAAGAAAGTTGAATTGTGTAAGCAAGTTTTTCGTTGATTATGTGCTAGATCAGGGAGTAGAGCGTATTTTGAATAAGATGATTGAAAGCGATATATTGACATAACAATTAGTGATGTAAAGTAATATTAGTTCACAAATGAAAACTGACCTTCAAATGTGTTCAATGCTATCGATATAAATCACAAAAGTCGATAGTAATTCCGGTAGATTAGGATAATAGTCCGTTAAGATAAGGAATTTTAAGCAAGAAAGTTGCATTAAATTAAGTTTAAAAAACTTACAATGTTCATAGATCTCTTCGACCAAGATAAAACAGGAACCACGACATGGGACGGTACCAATTTCGGAATCCGGTTCCCAGCAACGATCAGTGAAATTTTTTGGGGGAAAATAATGATGCATAAGCTGATTCCATAGATTGAGATATGCAGTAGAAGCACAGCTGAAGCAAACTGACAAGTGGGATGTCTTCGGATCAAATGATGATACTAACAATGGTGATAGTGATGATAATGTTGACAGTATAATGAGAGACTGATAAGCAGTTATAAGCAGTGAATAAAAAAAGGATCTCGTTTGACCACAAATTTCAATACTGCACATTGCACATTAGCTTATAGAGCTGTTATCCCAACAAGCTTTACCTTTACCAGTCATCAATATTTCTCGATTGATATGAGCCTGATCAGAAGAAACGTTATGATAACACCCATTATTGATGCTTTTTAATTGCTGTAAGTTTTAAAATGATATAAAGAATATTAATGCCAGATTAATTGCTTACTATCAATGGATAGTGCGCAACTGTCCTAATTTATATCAAAATTCGGTTTTTAAAACGATGCCACACAATAGTATTGAAATGAAAGTGAACAATCTTCAAATAGAAACTTTTCGCATTGTTGTTCATAAGGATTAAATTAATCCAGGAGTGCTGACTAGAGATAGATTACTTCCGTCCCTCTATTATCTTTCCGCTGTGAGCCAAAAGAAGGAGCAAACAGACAGACTAGGCTGAAGTCGCTTTTTCCTTCAAAAATCCTAACGGGTAAAATGTACGACGACAGGGCGCCATTGTAAATGGGCCTCAGCCACGCCTTTCATCAGAAAGAGCCAACCGTTCATTCCATAGTCCACTCAATTTGTTTCTCCGCTTCTCAACTCCATATGCGCATATCAATAATTTTATCAGGAAATAATTCTTTAAAATTAACTTGTTGAAGTCAAGGAATCAAACGGAATTCTTTTATGTATAAATCTCTTTCTAAATTAACATGACAAATGAGTACAACCTTCCCTGCTTCGACCTCCATTAACTCTATTAAACTCTATTAAGGGATAATTAAATAAAACTTATTCATTTAAAATTATTCACCTGTTAGACCAACTCCAAATACTCAAGAAACTCCGAACAGGTACTTTAAGGATGATTATGCCGTTTTTTTCCGAAAGGTATGCCACATTACCCGTTTTTCTTCGATATTTCATTAGTATAGCCAGTATATTTGCTGAGCGTGAGTACTACTGACCATTCACTTCATCATCTTTCTAGTTTAATTTGCTTAAGCCAAGAAATTTTTTTTCCCATATACTCGAAAAATGTCAATGTTTCAATATCAAGAGAAGCGATCACCGAGTGACTAATTTCCGAACTGCTTTTATCGTTTAACAAATTTCAAAAATTATTAATCAAAAGCCAACAGACATAAGTTACATTTTCAATAAATTATGATAAATTTCGAAATAATTTCTTTCTGAGTATACTAGGCTTAAATAATTAATCACGAATTAAATATTTCAGCAAATACATCTGATCAATTATGCAGTCAGGTAGGAATGATTAAATAATTAAAATTCATCTGAAGTGCCGGGAACACAAAGTAACAAACGATATCAATAATATAATTCAGCAAATAAACATAATAGAACAACAAAAAGAAATGAGAGCACCACAACAGTTTATTATAAGCATATTTTTTTACACGATATGATGATAAGGAGAGAAATGATACGAGTAACTATAATATATGAACAAATTGAGTGCAAACTGTTTGCTACGTAACAATTAAACTGGGTTGCTCAAACAGCTCAAAATTTAGGAAATTGAAGTTGCCTAACGATTTTTTGGAAAGATTGAAAATTATCTTTCGTAAAACATGCAGTTTCTTAAAACTGAATTAGAGAAAATGCATAATAGAGGCTCGGAAAGCGTTAAAAGAAGAAAAGATACATCGGATGAAATGGAAAAACGACGGGAAAAAGACTATTTGAAAAAAAATTTTTAATAAGATTAATGAAGTTTGCAAACAAGAATTACTACTAATAAAAGTTTTTTGTTAAAATAAATGCAAAAATGCCTAGAGTAAAAGTAACGATAATTATAAAAGCGTTTCAAAATATTGGAAGTTAAAAAGTCTTGGAAATATAGAAAACAGCCAATGCCACCAAATTACATGCATTATCATGCATTATCCCGGAATACCAGGACAAAATACAAACATGCGAAGAAGAGAACAAACTCCAACTTGAGAACGAAATTTACGCATTACTTCGGACGCTCTTAGGACGTTTTCGTTCTAATTGTTTCACGAGTTCTTCTGTAAAATCATTTTTGGCTTTTTCTAAAGCATCAAAAACAGCAATTTGGGCTTCCATTGAGTTATCTTTCACTTCATCAATGTCTCGACCAGCGACTACTTTTGCCTCCACAGGCACATTGTAACCAGCAGCAACCAAAGCTTTCCGAAATTTTAAAGAACAGGTGCGCAAATAAGGATTGATTTTATATTCATCACCAAGAGTGACTCCAACCTTAAAACAAAGAATTTTTTAGTCCGATATCATAAAACGTTTCGGTAAGAAAAAAAAATTTTATTGAAAACAACTGGCAACTCGTAAGTAGCAAGAAGTCTAAAATTAAATGATGACAATATTTTATTCCCAGTTATACATTCACTTTCTCAATTGAGCTTATTCAAATCGACCTTGATTTGATTTTTTTAAAAAATAATTTCAAGGTATTTGCTTTGAAAGTATTTTGAAATGAACCTCTTAATTCGATAAATAATGACAGATAAATGAAATTGCTTCTTGCTCAAATAGATAAGCAATTGCCAAATAATTACATGGCAGAAGAAAGTTAACCGAGAGAGAACTGTCAATAGTACGTGTCATATTCAAGATGCGTAACATATAAATTGCTACTTATTATCTCCTCATGTTTCTTAAAGAAGCAAAAAATTACACTTTTTTCTTTAATGAATATAAAATAAATTTCTTAAACCAGGATTAAATTGCATCATTTTACATTATTATAACTTATTATATCTGCATTCATATATTTCAGATAGTGCATGTAAGTAATGCAATCGAAAGAAAAGGATTAAGCTCATAAAATATATTTATTCTAACCACAAAATATCATGCTATTAATAGGAAGTTAACAATCTCTATAATTTATTAGACATTATCAATCACAAAAAATTTAAAACAGAATTGATTATCAGAATGTCAAAAACTGCAAAATATCATTTCGGCGAAGTGAATCATTCTTTATGGTATAAAAAAATATTATTTATATATCTTACACATATAGTCTATTGCTTGAACATGATTGTAATGTCTATTATACAATTATCCTTTTATCAGAAATATTTTTTTTTCATGCTGCCTTAATGCCAAAGCAGTGAATACTAATAAATTACCTGATGTGAATAACATATATAGCTTGTTGATATTAGCATGTGAACAAAGAAAGAATATTAAAATTTATACCTAACTGAATAGTAAATGAGATTAGCAATATGTTCGAGTGTTCTCTTCTGAGAAGGCTTATCCACTCGAAAATCGATGCTAATGCAGCTCAACCGAAAAATAATCGAGGCTATTCAGGAGCATTCTAAAGGTGGGAACTATTAAGGCGCTATATAGAGAACAAGAAGAGAGAAAATAAGAACAAACGTAATCTCATTCAGAAGATGAATGATGAAGCCTAAAAAAATACATTTTATATAAAAAAGATAACAATTAAAATGCATTTTTTCACTCCTTTCTTGAACATTTTTACTTCAAAAACTAATAAATGCTGTTTAAATATAAAGTGCTTTCTTAGCTAGAAAGTAATATCAGTGAATACTGAAATCCCTCATTTATGATAGATATCATTGATGAAGAATGATACCAATTTAAGATGCTAAGCCTTTAGCCATATTGCACTGTTCGTTTTAAATTCAAGGAAATTTTTCTCATTTGTAGCCATGATGATCTATAGTTTTAGGCACTCAATACAGGAATCACTACTAAAATCGAGGAGTTCATTACACAAAACTAAGCAACGTAGGCCATAAAGCAAGAAAAATACCAAGATTAGTCTACAGTTAAATTAATATTAGCTTATGACTACACTTCAACATGAAATAGCAAAAAATACATCAAATTTATTATCCGACTTAGTAAAAATCAAATCATGAGCCGATAGTGTGGCATATTGTAGAAACGATAAATACTAACAGCTACATAAATCTCGGTGAACCCAAAACAATAAGTCAAGAACATAAGCGGGTGATGAGGGTCAATTCTTATTAATTCAAGGCATAGTTGGAGTATTCAAAGAAACTAAGAACATAGCAACGGATTTAAACAAAAGCTGGTATAATATAAAACTTTTCCAAACTTGGCAGAAAGTCTCAGAAACCGTTCGATAAACATATTGTTCAGGAACAATTCATGAATATTTAGCTTTATTTTCTTTGATAATAGCATTTTTTGCTTAATGCATGAAACAGTGCAGATCTTCTTCTAATGAATGCTCTAATGAAACCTACTTTCAGGGAGCAGCAATAAACATAATATCGAAATCTCCCTTTCTTCTCTCTTCAAATGAAACCAAATTCAACAGAATGTTCAGAAATCTGTATAAACTTACAATAGGCGAGCGAGCGGTCCGTTTTTCACGTACTGCTTCGTTTACTGCTTGCAGTACCTCATTATCTTTTTCCAGTGACAAAGCAAAAGATAAATTGAGCTTCGCATACTCATGACCAGGGAAAATGATAGTATCTGGTGGAAAATCACTCAGCATCAATAATGAATTAATCATTTGTGAAGTGCTTCCTTCAAAGATTTTACCTAAAGAATTCATCTAATTTTTCTCATTTTTGTCCCATAATTTAAAAAAGTAGAACAAAACTTGAAGGTTTTAAAAATCAACAGTATATAAAATCATATCATATTTACAGGTATACCTATTCCAGCGATAAACAGAAAGTCTCCCGTGAACAAACATTTGAGTTCATCATTTAATTGCAAGGCGTAAATCATGTGGCCAGCGGTGTGTCCAGGAACGTGCAATGCTTTGAAATGCAACTTCCCAATCTCGATCAAAGCTTCATTTTGAACATACCTGAAAAATGATAAAATTGAAGTGACCTTCATTGACGGAATTTATGCATAAAAGAGTCATAGGAACTCTATTTCACTCACGTCTGTAACTAGGCTACAGATGTCGCAAATGCAATACCTGAAAATGAGAATAAACAGATACCGATTCAATAAATAAAACTAAACAGAGTTTACTAGTCTGAAGAAATATTTTTGATACTAGTTATAATAGTGAAAAATACAATAATGATTCATTTTTCTTAAGCTTACATATTCACATCGGCGGGTCGGTCAATCTCGCCACCATAAATATTTAACTCCTTATACCGTTTTTTCAGTTCTCTATTACCGTAGCAATGATCCCTGTAAGAGAAATGAAACATTTTAAACATTTTATTAACATATTTGAAGACTCCAAATACTTTCCTTAAATTTAACTGTATGAGAAATACACTGAACCAATGTTTATGGGTGACAAGTACTGCTTGCGGTATTTTATTTTCATCGCTCAAACACTGGAGTATGGGTTGCGCATCGCCAACATCGATAACAACACAGTCATTAGTTGATCCACAAATAACCATATAGCTATAGTTATCACTGTTCTGTGGAACTGCTGTTACAGTAATATCTGAAATGACACCTTGCCGACTTATCAAGATTACCATCACATTCACAGTATATCTCAGTATCTACCGTTCCAAATACTGCCGTTACCACCCGGCTGAAAATGTTTTATTGACAATGCATAATTGTATCTAAAGCAACATTACTAGAGAAGTGATCTAATCCAAAAATATCTCATCTAAGAGTAAAATTTTAAAGAATACCTCCATAGGTAAATGTGGCAGCTGAGGAATGTCCATTTGGTCGCTTTTCATGAACTCTGTTTAACTGTCGCTTGGTATACCACGCACCAAAGCAGTTGGTATTATATATGTTGTACCTGCGAAATTCATACATAAGCTTCAAAACTGTAACATCCTTTTCAACAAAAAAACTCAAATAACTTACATAAAACGAAATGCGAAATTGTCCTTCTTGATTTTCATCAGGATATATTAGAATTATTTCGTAAAAGGTATTCCTCAAGATTTTGAAAAGTAAACATACTTCACTGAAGGCTTTAATTTATCTAAAACAATCTAATTAAGGAATGGAAAAATATAAAATATAAAAGCAAACCTGCAGATGAATAATAGTAAATTACTACATTTTACTTCCATTTTGAGTTAATTAAATCAAAAAAAAAAAGAAACAATTAATGCACTTCTGAATGGGATGTAAATGAAAAACTGTTACAAATGATATCATTACTAAAGCACAAATACTTCTATGCTATTATAACTATTATAACTCTACTATAACTATTATTGTAACTCTATAGGTATGCATCATATAGAAGAACGCAATCATCTGCAGTGGTTAACTTTTTTATCCGCAATTCATCATCCTATATATCAGAGATATAAAAATGTTAGACCAATAATAAATGGAGGAAATAAATAAATCGAATAAATCACTATGGTATGAACCATTATTATATACATTAATGTTGTTATCTCAGTGATATGATAAGCGAAGAGTTGGAAAGTTACTGGACCGATCAAAACCCCTTACCTAACTCCCCCTCCTAACTATATAATCTTCATACTTGCAAATTAAAATATTTGCATATTATGAACCGTGAGACCTTCTTTAATAAGGTCCGTGGAATTTTAACAATGGATTTAGATTTCATTGCTGACAGCCAGTCTGTAAATGGAGGGATGATCAATGTGACAACTTGGTGGGTATTGATAGTTTGTCGTTGTTGCGTGTTTTTTCATTCCCCCGTCTTTGCCTTTACATATTTTTCATGAGCGGTATTTACATGAATAGATGTCAATCACCTGGTCAGATGAGGAGATTGATATATACAGGTTAATAATTGCACTGATTTCCAATGCCTAGTAAGATTTTCCATTTTGACCACACAGCTCGCTTTAAAAAAATTACCCACGGTATTTGGAATGCTTGTAGTCGTTATCAGCGATGCAATAGGAAATCGAAATATATTCCATATTTTCATCTTTCCCAATTTTTAGATTTTTTAAAATCTATAGTATAAATCTATAAGCTAAATAGAGCTACATAATGTTATTTTTCTTTTCCGAATCTGAATATTTAACATGTAATTAACAAAGTAGATGTGTTCTTTGATCAATACCCGAAATTTGGATCTTAACTATTATTTATGAAGTACCGTGCGGGTTTCCTAACCAATACAGTCTTTTAAAATCGATGAAGAGTTATCATCAATTCATTAATCAATAATGGAACATCCACTAAGTGCTAAAATACTTGAGTTATATGTGCTGATATTCTGCTAATTAGCATAGCTAGGAGATGTCGTATGTGGCACAACCATTTTTCAATTCAGGAAATTTATTTTTTTAAATTTTCTCAATTTGCAAAATTCAGCGAAGAACAGTTTGACTAGCTTAAATGAAAGAGATCCATAAAATACATTATAGCGTGAAAGCCTTCAAAATAAATTTAAAATAAAACAAAAAAATCCGATTAAAGTTCGTTTAAAGCATTGCTGTAGTGATAAATACTGAGATGAATTCCGAAGACGTAAATTCAAACTTAAGTTCTTTTGTCAAATTAAATAATTCCTAGATCTTTTCTTAATAATTTCGGGTCATACTTGAGAATGATTTACATTGTGTAGTGTTGCAGATAATTCAGAAAATGATTACTCGACGAATTTTTTCAAATATTATAAATTAACTATTTAACTTCTAGCGCTATTTAAGTAATTTTTTACTACTTACTTTGGAGACAATAAGGGTAAGTCAGTATGGTACAAAATTTTCTGTGATAATTTAGAATGGTCATATCTGAGTATTTCTATATTAGCTTCTTAGCAAACGTCAATTGAAGTAGTAGCATATTTGAATAAGACCACATTACACGTTATTGTACATGAAATTCTATTGTGAAAGAAGTTATAATACATTTGTCAACTCTACCGTGACATAATAATAAGGTTAATCCGAGAAAAAAAACATCACTATTCAATTTCAAGATCGAATTGGTCGGTTATGGATGTGTCCCGAGAAGTTCCACTACTTTCGCTTGAACTTGTCCTTGGTGAATTTTTCATAACACTTTCTTGTAATTTCCTCAATTCAAGGCGTTTTTTTTCCACATCGTGCCTCTTTCCCTCCAATTCAAGCTTCTTGATTTTTAAGTTAATCTTCATAGCTTCCACCTCAAGTGTCTTCTTTTCAAGTTCTTTCCTGGCAAATTCCATGTATACAGTTTTCAGTGCCAAATCAATGGAACCAAAATCTATCTGGTGCTTATGAACCTCTGATGGCGGGGAAACAACTTCATCATTGCTTTCTAATATTTCTACCGGTTGCTCTTTTTCATTGGAAAATGTACTCATGTCACTTGCTTTCCTGAAAATTCAGTATTTTTAAATATTTATGAAACTAATTACCTTCGTAGTCTCAAATTCGGTATTGTTACACTTTCTCAAAAAATCAACAATCATTGAATTTACCAGACATTACAATTCGTATTGATATCTGATAGATTTCCGTTTGTAGAGATTTATATTGTTGGAAGCTTTATTAAATCATTGGTCATTTGCCTAAGTGAGTTTACGAATATTTTTTGCATAGTGTATTTTCATGTTTTTTAAATGTTATTCGAAAATGTAAATTTGAAAGCGGACTTTCCAATACCTTTTGCGACAGCTGTTTCTGATATTGTTTGTTGATTCAAAACACAAAA